CACCACTCAGAGAAGGGACCACCAGGCGTGAAAGCGCTTAAAATGTGTCTGAGCAGGGGCCCAGTGGAACATGCCCATAACATACCAGCACCTGGAACTTGGAAGATGGAAAGTTCAAAGCCGGCCCTGACTACATTAGACCCCGTCTCTAAAACGAATGAATAAACTTAAAACTCATCCTGCTTCCCACAGTGCAACATGATGACTGTGGGATTAGCTGGGCGCACAGGATGCTCTAGGGGCCGGGGCACAATGTGCTCACTGCGCTTATAACCCAGGCAGCGTCCATATGGCAGGTGATATTAATCCTCTTCCTTAACAGAGAGTGGGGACCAAAGGGGCTAACCTCTACAAGTCAAGTGTCCCGCCAGTGGCGGCAGCAGACTGTGGATTCAGACAGCCTGACTCCTTCGCTGACTTCAGTCTAGTGCAGTAAGGGACTGTGCAAGCGCGGGAGCCGGAGGACGCGGTGTCCGTGCGTGCTTTTCTAGGGGTCTTCTTGGCATTATGGTTCAGTTTCGCTCTTCAGTGAGTGGGGACTGCAGCATGGACTGCAGCATGAGAACATCACGGGGACGGGCTGTCTGTGTGGGGGCTTCTAGTACAGTCATAAGCAGCTTGGGGAGGAGAGGGATCATTTCAGCTGAGAACTCTCGGGTCACACACACTCGATCACTGAAGGAAGTTGGGGTAGGAACTTGAGGCAGGAGCGTGGAGACAGAAACAGAAGCAGAAGCCAGGGAGGAACTCTGCTTACTGGGTTACTCCGTATGGCTTCTTAGACCTTCCAGGGTGGCACTGCTCACTATGGTTCCTCCCACATCACTCCGGAGGCCTTTTCTCAATTGGGGGTCCCTTCTCTCAGATGACCCCAGCGTGTATCAGCAAACAGACTAAAGAGATGAGCTGTGCAAGGCAGGCAAGTAAAGGACGGGGCAGTGACTACTATACATTACGGTCAGGATGTGTGAGGTTAAGACCCGAGTAGAAGATGACTCTTAAGACACAAGGCATGCGAGGAGCAAAGGGAGAATCCTCTAACTTCAGAATATACAAAAGGGGGCGGGGGAGGATAGCTCATCTGGTAAAGTGCTTGTCCTACAGGCATGAGGACCCAAGTTCAAGTCCCCAGAATTCATATAAAAATGCCAGGAATGGTGGTGTCAGCTTGTAAGTCCAGGGCTGGGAAGAAGGAAACAAGAAGAATCCTGAGAGACAGTCCCTCGAAAGGGGGCAGGCAGCACCTAAAGTAATGACATCCAAGGTTGACCCCTGGCTCCCACATATGTACACCTGCAGCCCCATGTACACACACACAAAGAATACATACAAAATCTTTGTGGAATGAACAGTACGGGGTCATAATACAGGAAGAAACAAACACACACCTGATTTTCAACACTGCAGCCATAAGCTCCTCAAACTGCCAGGGAAAGGTAGGCTACGGGGCGCAGCACTAATGAGCTAGGATGTTCGAGTTGATGAAAGCCAAGACACCAAGCTAGGAGTCCACAGCTTCCAATAAGAACTCGGATCCTGGCATGAGAAAGGCTGGGTAGATAGGGGACTCCCCTCCACCATCTCCAAACCTGCAGAGGGGACATGCTGACCTAGTGGTTATTTAAACGCATGGCCTCGACCTCTTCTGGCAGGTTAACCAGAGTCATCCCTAATTAATGACACACCCAGTGTAACAAGGGCCTAAATGCCCTCCCTGTCTCTAAGAGTCTCAAGCGTGGGAGACTGGGAAGCTCACAGACATCTGTACCTCCTCTAGACACAGGAGCCAATGAGGAGGCCAGCAGCTCTGTGACCCTACGGAAGGGAGACACCACTCATGCTTCATGGCAGAAACTGGAAACATCAGCAGGAAACCCAAACCAAAACCACCGTGCTCAACAGACCTCACAGTCCTGCTCAACTGCATGGCCGCTAGGCCTCAGCCACGTCACAGCTGCCTCTGAGGGATCACCAATGGGAAAGAACGTGGCCTGTATTTGAGGGAAGACATGAGTCTTTACTCCTCCAACAGAACGGTCTGGGGGTTGGGGCATTCCGGGCAAACCTCCAAGTATGACATCATCAGTTCATCAGAGGGGCTTCCACGCTTGTGTAGTTTTCCCTTACCTCTCAGACATCAAAAGTGCAGGATGTCAAAAACAGTGCAGGTGGAATTTAAAAACAGGCCTGGTGATGCACATTTTCAATGCCAGTACTTGGGAGGCAGAGGGCAGGCAGATTTCTGCTAGTTAAAGGCCAGCCTGGCCTATAGAACAAGTTTCAGGCCAGCAAAGGCTACATAGTGAGACACTGTCCAAAAAAAAAGAAGAAGAAAGGAAAAGAAAAAAATGAATTCAATGTTTATTTGCTAAACACCTGTGTACTGGCTGGTTTTATGTAAACTCGACACAGACTAGAGTCATCAGAGAGGAGAGAGCCTCGATTGAGAAAATGCCTCCATAGGATCTGACTATAGGGCATTTTCTCAATTAGTGATTGATGGGGGAGGGCCCAGCCCATTGTGAGTGATGCCATCCCTGGGCTGGTAGTCCTGGGTTCTATAAGAAAGCAGGCTGAGCCGGGCGGTGGTGGCGCACGCCTTTGATCCCAGCACTCGGGAGGCAGAGGCAGGCGGATCTCTGTGAGTTCGAGGCCAGCCTGGTCTACAGAGCAAGTTCCAGGACAGCCTCAAAAACAATGCAGAGAAACCCTGTCTCGGAAAAAAAAAGAAAGCAGTCTGACCTGGATGAAATGACAGTCACTGGAGATCCACCATGGAGGATCAGAGTGGAGATTGGGTGGGGGACTGGGGGACCTGGTGGGGCGGGCAGGGGAGGAGGGGAGGGAGAAGGAGGTGGGATTGACATGTGAAACAAGCTTGTTTCTAACTTAAATTAAGAAAGAAAGAAAGAAAGGAAGGAAGAAAGAAGGAAAGAAAGAAAGGAGGAAAGAAAGGAAGCAGCAGGCTGAGCAAACCAGTAAACAGCTCATGGCCTCTGCATCAGCTCCTGCCTCCAGGTTCCTGCCCTGTTTGAGTTCCTGTCCTGACGTCCTTCAGTGATAGACTACAATGTGAAATGCAAGCCATTAAATAAACTCTCTCCTCCCCAAGTTGCTTTTGGCCACCGGGTTTGATCACAGCAACAGCAACCGTGACTAGCAGAACCTGCGATTCTGCCTCCAGGCACCAGCATAGGAGCTGAGAACCCAAGTGAAGCCTGTCAATAGAGAGGCAACAGTGCGCCGACCCACTCTTACTTACCCATAAGTGGTGCAACTACTCAAGATCCCAAGCAGGAAATGCCCCAAGTGACCCACCAACACCAGCGAGTCTCCTTTCTGTGGCCCTGAGCAGAGTGTGCTTACCCGGAACCTTCTCACCGACACACGAGCGAGCGATCAACGTCAGCCTCAGTACCCCTTCCCCTGAGGTTCTGACTTCCAACCCATCCCAAAGAGATGTCTGTACTCTCAGGTACCAACCGCCAACAGCTGAGGACCGCCACTGATTTCTTTAGAGATGGAGGCTCCCCTCAGGTACCAACCGCCAACAGTGAGGACAGTCCAGTCACTGATTTAGAGACTGAGGCTCCCCTCAGGGGAGCTTGTTCAGCAGACAGGAGCCCCTGGATTTTTATCGCCCATGTTTAGAGGGAGGAAAGAAAACAAGCAGAAAGGCCAGCAGGGCTGTGTGTGAGGGTGACCCTAGTCCTGGGGAGGCAGAGGCAGGGGAGTCCCTGGGACTTGCTGGCCAGCCAGTCCGGCACAATCAGCAAACTCCAGGTCTGGTGAGGGACACGGGCTCAAAGAAAGAAGAAAGAAGATGGACAGCAATTGAAGGAGACACCCAATGTCAACTTCTAGACTCCATCATGAGCACACACCAAAAAATGACCATTCTCCGATGAGTACTTATATCTACTCAGCAAATCTTGAGTGCCTACTACGAGCCAGTACCGTCCAAGGGACCAGGGGAATCGCAGCCAACAGAACGGGGTTTTTCTTCCCCAAAGGACAGGGTTCTTCTGCAGGGCTTTTTAACATCTCCCTGAAAAGATCAGGGTCGGTACTCAGCACCGAATGCCAGACTGTTTGTGGGGGCCCTGGGTTTCTTCCGCCCGAGCGCTACAAGCTCACGCAAACTGAAGAAGGTCCATAAATTCACAGGGAACAGAAGCTAACGAGGCCGCTTCTAAGCGAACTTCCACTTCTTAAAAACCTCAAAAGAACAAGGAAGGAAAAGAAAACAGCCACGAAAGCGCTGCTGAACCAACACATTTTACACACTCTGACAAAGCATTCCACTCCCCCCTGTAAGCCACAAAGAGCGGCCCCCCACCCCAAGCCTTGCAGCCCCGGATTCAAGTGCCTAACAGATCTCAGAAAGTCAAAACGCACCTCAGTTTCCTAACAAGTCTGTCCAAACCCTGCTTTCTTACCGAGTAAGTCCCTAGGGGGGAAAACGAGCATATGCCACTCGGACGAACCCAGCGAGAGTGACTACAAGGAAACCGACGACAAATCGAGCTTCAGGCACCAGAGAGGCTCAAAGCCTGAGCACCTCGTGCGCGATCAATGCAGAAGCAATTTTAAAAACAAACAAAAGCCGGGACCCGCACAGCACAGCCCGGCGGAGCGCTCGTTCCAAGTTGCAACGAGAAGGAAACGAGGCGAGTGTGCTCCGGGGTGGTCGCCAGGCTCTCTCTGCACGGCGTGGGAGTTCCTGCAGGATGTGAGAAGGATCCCGCGAACTCGGTCTGCTTCTTCGGTGGCTTTTGTGAGAGGCGACAGCTGGCACCCCACGGCGGGCGAGGGGGACGCCGGGCTGTGCCATGCGGCGCGGGCTGCCACCCGGGCAACTCCCCCCATTCTCCGCAGCCGCCGCGCCAGACGCGAGAGAGCCCGGCCTGCGCCCGCGCGCGCGCGCCCCGGGAGCCGCCACCTCTCCGGGGGGAGCCCGCGCCGTCCAGGCTGCGAGCCGCGCCGCCGCGCGCACTCACCTCAGCAGACTGGAAAGCGGGTGGCTGGAAGAGCCGAGGCCGCCGCCCCCGGAGCCGCCGCCGCCGCCGGAGCCGCCGCCGCCGCCGAAGCCGGAGGAGAGCCGCTTCCCGGACAGCAGCTTCTCCACGGCCGGGAGGTGCCCGGTGCGGGCCGCCTCCAGCAGCTCCTGCTCCTTCCCCATCCCCAGGACCGCCACTCCTCGGACCCCCGCCCGGGGCCACGCAGAGCCTGCCGCAGCTCCCAAACTTTCCGTCTCCGGGCAACGCACCCCTCAAACCGGCCGGGGACGCCACCCCCTCTACACCCCCCCCCCGCCTCCTCGGCCTCTCCCCCTTCCCGCGGCGCGTCACTTCCGGGATCCGGCGTCACGCGTCACCGCGCCCCCGCGCCCCGCCTCCTTGCCCACCTAGTGGGCGGGGCTCCGCGCCGCGGTGCAGGTGACGGAGCCGAGCCGAGCCGAGCCGGGCGGAGATGGGGGTCCACGCCCAGCGCGCCCGCCCCTTCAACAGGTGGCAGATGACACACCTGGGGGAGCCTCCTGACGTGCTGGCCTGCCCAAAGGTTTGGGGACCTCGTGGGACTGGGAAGCGCATCGTTTGTTCCGGCGCTGCAGAAACAAAAGAGAAATTCGGTAACGCCGCGCCTACGCTCACAATCCCATTCAGGACTTGTAGGGAATAGGCGCGGAGACTAGACCCAGGCGTGAAAAATCCCGCCCTCTGGTGCCGCCTTGAGGGAAGGCCGGAGCGCGGCCAGACAGCGGTTAAAGGGGACGGCGGCCCCCGCCGCCCAGCGCTCGAGCGGGAGGCAGAAGCGGGCGCAGCCCTGCGAGCGTAAGGCCAGCCCGGCCTGCATTCAGAGCAAGTCCCAGGCCAGCCGGGGCTGCGTAGCGAGGCTGTCTCAGAAAGGGGGCGGTGGCTGGAGGGGGGCGTGGGGCTAAGACCACCGGGGTCGGATCCCTATCACCTACAGTCGGTAACGCCAGCTCTAGCGGATCCGACACCCTGCTCTGGCCTCCCGGGGCGCTGCGAACGCCTGTGGTGCGCAGACGTACGCGCAGCTAAAAACACACATGCATATGAAAGAACTTAAAAGGAAAAAGAACAACTTTTTTTTTTGTTTCCCCTCGCTCCGTCCTTAACGGCTTCAGTGAAGTGATTAGAAGAGACCTCCCTCCTAGTTGTCATGAGAGTAACCACACGTGCTTTTCAAGTCACATTGGGAAAACCAGTCGCGGTATTGAGGATTGGCGGGACTGGATAAAAACAAACATGTGATTGAGTCGAGGCAGGGGGCGGGTAATTGAGGCGCAGGGCGAGAGCGCTGCAAACACTCTGCTGCTGGAGTCGGCGAGGGAGAGCCACAGCCATTCCCGGGTGAGCACAAGCCCGCGGTCTCGGTTCTTTCGAAAAAGACGAGGTCGGCTCCCGGCCGGAAGTTGTTCTGTCCAAGGCAGCAGCGTTTCTTTGACGCCGGCAAGCCCCGGGACCGCGTTTTCATCCCGTTCCGCGACTGTGCCCCGGAGTCAGGGCAACGAAGGATTGACTGGCATTGCGTTGCCATGAAGGAAAAGAAAAGGAAGCCTCTCGGCAAACGAATGTACGCTCTTTCAGAAGCTCTGCTTCCCTAAGGCGGACGATGCACACTTCTAAGTTTTCTTTCTCGTTAAACCAGACGCGGTTTGAAACGAATCCCCCTGAGCTAGCAACGCACTTCTGGAAATGGCCCCTCCGAGGAGCCGTGGGTGACGTCATCGCGGCGCGACGACCAGCCGTCCGCCCCGGTTCCGCGGTCCGGCTAGCGGTCCGGCTCCTTCACCTGGCGGTGCTGCCGCCACCTCTGTCTTGCTCCTGCCGCGATGGACAACCCCGGGGAGTCGCCCTCGGACAAAGGCGGAGAGCCGGGGGAGTCGGAGGAGATGAGGGCTCCTCCAGGGGCCCCGGCGGCCGCCGACCCCGAGGGACTCCCCGAGGAAACGGACGGAGACGGAGACGCGGAGCTGAAAGAGGCGGCGGCGGAGGAGAGCGAGGTAGGCGCGGGGCCGCGCTGATCCGGCTGGAGGGACGCCCGGGTGGCGCTGCTGTCTGCCGCAGCCTCGAGGGCCAGGGGAGAGCACGGGGGACGTGCAGGTGCTGCTTTGGTTCCGGGCCGCGCAGTCTGCACGGAGCCAGTGCCTCGGATGCTCGATCCCAGGGGTCCCGGGGCCTCACTAAGACTCATCATCTGTGCGGCTTCCGAAGCTGGGCTTCGCTGCCTGCTCGAGCCTCAGTGTTCCTTTCTGCAGGCAAAATCTCGGGAGTTCTAGAGCTGGGATCGACTTTGAGAGATCGTGGAGCGAACAGTAGATAGGATGGAAGTGGGCTTTCTAAACGTAACCGTCTCAAAATGCCTCAAGGAATAACTTCTAGGAAAAAGAAAATGTAGCAAAACTTTACAGGATTTTTGCTCTTTTCTTCGTGAGAAGCGTTGCCCTAACACAGACTGGTCCTGAGCTTGTGACCCTCCTGTCACAGGTCAGCAGCAAAACTGTTTTCAGAAAAGAAAAAAATTGTTTTTAAGCTGAAATGTCTCATGCAGGTAGCTGAAGTAGAAGGAATAGATTCCAAGACTTAATGAGCTACAAAATGAGACCTGCTTCTATTCCAGCTCCACAGAAAGGAGGAAAGTTAAGGACAAATAAATTTGAAAATCTGAACCGGGCGTAATCCCAGCACTCGGGAGGCAGAAGCAGGGGGATCTCTGTGAGTTCAAGGCCAGCCTGGTCTACAGAGCAAGTGCCAGGATAGGCTCCAAAACTACACGGGGAAACTCTATCTCAGAATAAATAAATAAATAAATAAATTTGAAAATCTGGAACACAGAGGTTAGAAAAAGTGTGTAGATCAGTAACGGAAAAGAAGATGAAAGGATTAAGTTTTGATGTATTAAGATTCCATAATCTGTTCACGACACTACACCTGTCATCAGTAAAACTGGAATACTTACTTGGGGAGAAATGTAAATAACAAACATCTCAAACAGATTTTATCAGAGGGCAGGCCAAATGGCTCAGCGGGTAAAGGTGCTTGCCACAAAACCCTGGGGAATGGAGTTTGATGCCCAGAACCCACATAAAGACACAAGAGAACCAACTCCACAAAATTGCTCTGTGATCAACACTTGCAAGTCCACACACATTATGCATGAATGTGCATAATGATTTTAAATTTGGGATATTAAGAATTTTTTATTGTTCCGGGCGTTGGTGGCGCACGCCTTTAATCCCAGCACTAGGGAGGCAAAGACAGGCGGATCTCTGTGAGTTAGAGGCCAGCCTGGTCTACAAAGCGAGTTCCAGGACAGCTTCCAAGACAATACAGAGAAACCCTGTCCCTTGGGGAAAAAAAAAGAATTTTTTATTGTATGGATGTTTTTTGCCTTTGTGTATGGGTGCTTGCCATATATGTGCCTGGTCCCTGTGGAAGTCAGAAGAAGGCATCAGATCCCCTGAACCGAGTTACAGATGACTGTGAGCTGTCATGTTGGTCATCGAACCTGGATCCTCTGCAAGAGCAGCCAATGCTCTTTCTTAACCTCTGAGCCATCTCTCATTTATTTATTTGTTTGTATGTTTATGTTTTTTGGCTTTTCGAGACCGGGTTTCTCTGTGGCTTTGGAGGCTGTCCTGGAGCTCACTCTGTAGACCAGGCTGGCCTCGAACTCACAGAGATCCTCCTGCCTTTGCCTCCCAAGTGCTGGGATTAAAGGCGTGCGCCACCAACGCCCATTGCCATCTCAGTTTTGATTTAAACTCAGTATGGTGACAATTCCAGCAAGGAGGCTGAGGCAGGACAATTTCCACAATTTGGAGATTGGGAGTATTGGGCCACCAGCCTAAGCTACAAAATGAGATGTCTTAAATTACAAAAGAAAAAAGTTTCCAAACTGGTGTGGTGGCAGAGACCTTTAAGGTGGATTTCCAGAAGGTCGGCCTGGTCTACATAGTCAATTCCAGGACAGCCATCTCAAAAAAAAAAAGTTTCTAGTGTAGTAATGGGAAGGGTAGTATCTTATGATCCAGTAGAGGAAGAGTCAGAACACACACACAGCACAGAATGGTGAACCCAAGACAGAAATGCTGTTGGATGGAGAACTGTGCTGACTTCTGTAGGATGAGGGTGGAGGAGTGGTGATTTGGCTCTTTGGTGTTATTCCCTTACTTTGGTAAACAGATACAGGACCTCTATGTGATCATGGTCATATGGAAAACTGGATTATCCATTTTCTTCTTCAGCTGAGCTATAGTCTTCCTTTAGGAGACAGACAGCCTCTTAATGATGATGGTATAGGTAATGCCTAGAGCCAGACAGCTCCTGTAGAAACGGATTTGCTGCTGTGAAAAGGGGGGCTGACTTTGCCCAAGCCCAAAAAGTGTGCCAAATATGTAATAAGTTTCAGCCGGGCATTGGTGGTGCATGCCTTTAATCCCAGCACTCGGGAGGCAGAGGCAGGCGGATCTCTGTGAGTTCGAGACCAGCCTGGACTACCAAGTGAGTTCCAGGACAGCCTCCAAAGCCACAGAGAAACCCTGTCTCGAAAAACCAAAAAAAAAAAAAAAAAAAAAAAAAAAAGTAATGAGTTTCTGTCCATCTTCCCAGCTCAAGAGTCAGGATGTCTCAGACTTGTCAGCGGTTGAGAGGGAAGACTCGTCATTGCTTACTCCTGCAGCCAAAAAGCTGAGACTGGACACCAAAGAGAAGAGAGAGAAGAAGCAGAAAGTGGACGAAGATGAGATTCAGAAGATGCAGTGAGTCTTCTAACTGTCCCTTTTGGGGTCCTACCTCAGCTCTGCACTCACTCTCACTTGCTTTCTGTTGGTTTTTTAGACGGGTCTCATGGCCTCCTGATCCTCCTGCCTCAGCCTCCCTTGTGAGAGATTACAGGCATGAGCCACTATGCCTGGATACAATTCCAGGCCAGCAAGCTGCCTTATGACCTGAGTTTGCTCCTGGGAAACCACGTGGTGGAAGGACAAAACCAGTTCCTGGGAATGTCCTTTGACTTCCAAACATAGGCATACACACAAAATAAAATAAAAGCGTAAATGTGAGGATGTTAAATAATTTGTTTTAAATACTACATTTGGTCAGTGTTTCCCATATCAGTAATTATACATCAAAATCATCATTTTTCTTCAAAAAACTTGATTTTATTTTGTGGTTGCAATAATATGGGCTCATTGCAGATAATTCAGAATACCAAAAAAAAAAAAATTGCCCAAAATCCAGCTGCTGAATCTTATTCTAAGAATGTATATCTAGGTATGTCTGTGTGTGTAATATCTTCATAGATATTTGTGTTTCCTGGTTGTGCTGCATCTCATCTATGTGTGAATCAAATCAACCTCTTTACCTATTCTATTCTAGGTAGAGTTTTTAAAACACACTTTTTTAACAACACTGTTACATCTTTGGACATACCTCTGCATCACATCCATTTCTAAGATAAACCAGCCGTATAAACACTAGTTTCAAAGGCTTTTCAGCATATCTCCAGGTTTATGAAAATGGTGATCTTGTTTTAGCTGATCATTTCAAGTTCCTTGATTAATACTTAAGGTTCATTTTTCTTCTCCATCTTGATTTGCCATTGGTATTTCTGTGAATTTCCTGTTTTGGTTCAGCCATCTGTTTATTTAAGAGTGAATTGTAAAGAACACAGGGGCTGGAGAGACTGCTCACAAGTTAAGAGATGTCTGCGCTGGTGTGGGCCAGTAAGGTCCCGGCACTCACATCAAGCTGCTCACAAATGCCTGTAACTTGTCCCAAAGGACCTGGTACTCCCCTCTGACGTCTGCACGCACCTGTACACACATGCGCACTGACACACACAAGCAAACATACACAGATAAGTTTTAAAAGAGAACAGATACAGCCCAGCACATAGGGCACTGGCCAGCAAGCCTGACAACACCAGTTCGATCCCCATGACCTGCGTGGTGGAAGGAGAGACCTGCTTACCTCAGTTGTCTCTCCTGTGTCCCCACACCTGCACACACCATACAGGCATAGCAGATAGACTCTGAAACTGTTGGGGCTGAGGCTACCACAGATTGCCTGCAGAGTGTGCAGGAAGCCCCGTGGCTGATGCAGCACTGAGTAAAACCAGGTGTGGTGGCATATCTGTAATCCCACCCTCTGGAAGGTGGCCCAAGGATCAGAAGTTTAAGTTCATCCTTGGTAACGTCAAGTTTGAGGCTAGCCTGAGTTATATCACATCTCAAAATTTTTCTGAAGAATATACATGTTTTGATGTTTCCCTGTAAACTTAATATTGAAGAACCCTGATTGGAACAGAGACTTCTGTACTAAGTGTTTACCAGCAGTGTGAAGTACAGTCAGCACAGGGTACAGTATTTTGTCCTCACACTGCTATACGCAAGATGTGCTCCTGTAGCTGCAGATGACCTCCACTCCTGAGCAGGCATGCGTCAACACACCCAGGAAAGGAAAGTGGGTTTCCTTTCTCTCTCCCAAGTCCCTCGGAATGGAAATGCTCTGTAGCCATTCCTCAGGAGCACCAGGCCTAAAACCCACCTACTCCTTGAAAACCCACCTTCTCCTTGAAAACCCACCTACTCCTTGAAACATATTTTTTTGTTGATTTACTGTTTTAGTATTCAATCTCATTAACCAACTTAATTACCTGAATCTTTGTCTAGAATCCTGGTCTCTTCTTTTTCTGAGGAGCAGCTGAACCGTTATGAAATGTATCGCCGGTCAGCTTTCCCTAAGGCAGCCATTAAAAGGGTAAGGATTCGCTGCCCAGTGTGTTCCCTCCCCACCATGTTAGGAAGATGCTAGATGGCACAGCTGTGTCTTCAGCACCTCAAGTGAGGCCATGTTAATCAGAAGGGAGGATAACGTCACCTCTCATCTGGCCAATTCCAGCCTTGTATGCCACGGGTAGCAAGACACGGCACACATTAATCTTTGGGTTTTTCTGTTTTGACTGTTTTATTTTTTATTGATGTATCTGTGAGTATGTACCACATGTCTGGGTGCCCATGAAAGCCAGAAAAGGCATCAGCTCCCCTTGACTGGGTGGTTGTGAGCCACCCAATGTGGATGCTGGAACTGAACTCTAGTCCTCTGAAAGAGCAGCCAGCACTCGGAACTGAGACATCTTTCCAGTCCCAGATCCGTATTTCGATGGCCTGTCTTAGCACACAGCCTTCATTGTGGCATGGACTTGCACTATATTCCAAAGCCAGTCGCTAACTGTCTTAACACAGCCTTTCTCTGTCTTCCTTCAAGCTGATCCAGTCCATCACTGGAACTTCTGTGTCCCAGAATGTTGTGATTGCCATGTCCGGTATTTCTAAAGTTTTTGTGGGGGAGGTAGTAGAAGAAGGTGAGTATTGTTGCTTACACAACATACATTGCTCTTGTGGGGATCTTACTTTCAGGTGTTTTGTTTTTTGGGTTTTTTGGGGGTTTTTTTGTTTTATTTTATTATTATTATTATTATTTATTTTTTTTGAGACAGGGTTTCTCTGTATTGTTTCGAGGCTGTCCTGGAACTCGCTCTGTAGACCAGGCCTGCCTCTGCCTCTCGAGTGCTGGGATCAAAGGCGTGAGCCACCAACACCCAGCTGTCTTACTCTCAAGATTCTCTACACCAGGGAATTTTAGGGTCTGTGGGAGTTTCCAGCCATACTAGAAGTTGGTCCTGAAGGGAGCCTCGCCTTGAGAGCATGGCTGTTCTTGTAATTTTTATCACTGGGTGGGTGGGGGTAGGGGATGGGGATTAGACGTCTAGGAAATCCCTTGTCTTAGCCCAGGGTGACGAAAACAGTTGTGCTTTTCCTCAGCAGACCTTGCTTCTGCTGTTGAGGGTAAGAAGACAAGCAGTGCCCTGCTCCTGCTAGCAATGCCCCACTGGGAGCTTTTCCTCCAGCAGGTAGAGTCTGGCTGCTTCTCAGTGCTCGTCTCTAGCCTGTGATGCCACTTTCCCTCCTTAAACTGTGACACAGTCCCTGTGGGGATAACTAAAGCCAGCGTGACAGACCTTACAACATTTTCTTAAGGAAAAACATCTGTTTATTTCACTGGCAAGTTTCACAAAGCCAGACTTAAACAACTTGGGTTGCGATTAGAAAGTCGTGTGCTAACAGTGCTGTCTCCTCTCCCCACACTAGCCCTGGATGTGTGTGAGAAGTGGGGAGAGACGCCCCCACTGCAGCCCAAACACATGCGGGAGGCGGTGCGGAGACTGAAGTCCAAGGGGCAAATCCCCAGCTCTAAGCACAAGAAAATCGTCTTCTTCTAGATCTGATCTAGGAGCGGCAGACCTCTTCTCAGTCGGGCTGCTGCACCGGTGCTTTGTTGTCGGGACGCCAAGGACCCATGACGATTTTAATGTCTGTCACACCCGTAAGGCACGCCAGGAAGAAATACAAAGACAACTCAGGTGGCTTCACTTTGAAGCCTAAAGTTGCTAAGACACAAGTTGTTTCTTGCCTCTGGCTTTCAGAAACTTAGAAACTTGGGATCATCTGCCATGAAGACAGTCACAAGGGTAAAATACTTCCTGCTGTCTGACATTTCAGATTCTCCTGTGGATTTTGTGAGTTATCAACCTGGGTGGAAAAGTTAATTTATTACAGGCAAAATTCATCATTCTTCTAGTGTCTAAATAAAATTAACTAGTCTTAGTGTTTTCATTTTGGTTTTTGGAGACAGGGTTTCACCACATTTCTCTAGCTGGTATGGAACTCACTATGTAGAACAGGCTGGCCTTGAACTCACAAGAGATCCTCCTGCCTCTATCTCCTGAGTGCTGAGATTAAAGACATGCACTAATACCCCTTGTGTATTAAACAGATTGTGACTATGTAGCTCTGGTTGTCCTGGAACTCACTATGTAGAGAGCAGGGTGACCTCAAAGTCACAGAATGCCGAGCCTGGTGCTAGTCTTTGATTTTTCTTTGTGAGGTTTTTTTTTTTTGGTGTGGGGGGGTTGGTTTGGTTTTTTTGAGACAAGGTTTCTCTGTAGCTTTAGAGCCTGGAACTCGATTTGAAGACCAGGCTAATCTCAAATCCCAGAGATTGGCCTGCCTCTGCCGCCTCCACGTGCTGGGATTAAAGGTGTGTGCCACCACCACCAGGCTGGTCTTGCTTGCCTTTTTCATGAAAAAAAAAAAAAATCTGTTGAGACAGGGTCTTACTCTGTGGCCTTGGCTGGTCAGAACTCACTGTGTAGACCAGGCTGGCCTTGAACTCAGAGCCTACCTGTAGCCCTTTTTCTTGAAAGAAACAAGAACCTTCCTTAGCTTTGGGCCTGGAATGAGCTCAGCAGTTAAGAACAGGACCCAAGTTCAGTTCCCTGCCCACATCGGAGCACTCGTGCTCCAGGCCTAGAGGATGCAGTGCCTCACCTGGCCTTCACAGGCATGGACACACATTCACACACACACACAACCGTGTGCCACCATACTCGGTTTATGCCGTGCTGGGAATCGCACTGAGGATCTCCATGCATAATAGGCAATCATGAAAATAACCTAGGCATGTTCCAGAATTCAGCACTGTTTGCAGGCATGTAAATCCCACATTTGGCCAGGAGAGTCATGCGTTTGAGGCCAAATTAGGTACGTAGTAAAAATACCCTATATAAATAAGTCCATCTCCTTCAACTCCTACAAACAAATACACAAGGACCAATGCTGTTTAATTTTTTTAATTTGCTTTTCAGGTGGTTCACAGAACCAGTACACTCAGGGTTTGATTAGATATTGCAACATTAAGATTTCCTAATACTGACTAGGATTCCAGTTCCTTGTATACACTCTCACTGCTTTCCTCAGAGAATGAAGTGACTTTATTGACAGTGATTAGCAGTAAGGCTACCTGATATAATTGGCAATCAATCCATTGGCCTGCTTCCCATCCACTGTTGAGTGTCACAGGAAGGAGGCTTGGAAGCTGTTCTCTTCTGAAGCTTTCCTGAGCATGTCTTGTTTTTAGCACCCTGAGTTAGGGAAACAGCTCAGACTCACGTAATTGGACAGATCTGACTTTTAGTAGATTATATTAAAACTCATTGGCTTAGCCAAAGCAGAAGACGCCAGGGGAGCACTCCACATAGACTGTTGGGAGACTCAGGCTAAATCTTGACCAAAAACTAGTGAACTGACAAAAGTTTCCTCTCAATTCTAATAGGAAATTCTTAACATAGAGGACACCAGATAAGGCAAGAACATACTAGCAGGACAGAAAGCTCAAATCCCAAGTCTGGCCACTTAGAAAGACGTCACTGTTAGAGCGCTTCCTTGTGCCATTGGGCAAAATGCCTCACCACTGAAAGCCACTCTCCATACCTACCCTGGGGAAATGGACCGGCCTGGCAGAAGATGTGGGGCGCCTGGGCAGGCTTAGGGCTGAGTCTCCAGGAGTTAGTCACTTAAGTTACAGCTGTCATAGCTCGCAACCAGATGTTACTCTACTAGCTTGGGTAGTAAATAGCTGTTTTCAATTTTGTGGCCTGGTGTGACTGACATTAGAAGTTTAGGCATAAAGATGGAAGGAGGAGTTTGGAATAGAAAGCTCCTACCCAGGAGAATTCACACTGCTTCTTTGAAGGGCTCAATCTCTTGAGCCCCTAAGGGAAAATAACATGAATTTAACAGCAGACATTTGAGTTATGGGGTCTGTAAGATGTGGTGTCATCTCTCTCTAGCTCATTCATAGGTACCATCCCCTCAGAGCACAGAACAGTGGTGGTGCTTACAGCCCATGGCACAGTAAAAACAGCTCTTTGGGAAAGAGAACCCATGTTGGATTTTCAGGATCAGTTCATCATTCCAGTGAAGTAGACATGGACAGCCATTGCTGCAGCCCAACTAGAGGCCTGAGCTGGAGTCCACACACGAATGCACACTCCCAGTGCAGGCATGTAAACAGGAAATCTGGACAGTCGCGGCTGCATTAAGTGCTTTGCAGCTGAGAGGACGGTGTGCAGTGGCTGAAGTCTCTGGGGACAGTGTTGCTGTCCCTCCAGTTTTCTCGAGGTATTACTTCATGTTACAAACTGCAGCTCACAGCAGAGCTGTGCCCGACTCTGCACTCTGCTCTCCACCCTAAATACTCACAGCCAGTTCATGTCTCATCGTGAGTCCTGTACAATGCCCCAATAAAAGGGGGGACTGAATTATCAGAGATGACATCATTGACAATCCCATGGAATAATACTTGTACCATGTTTCCTGAGGGATGACTTCCTGACATAAAAGCCAAAGTCACCACACATGCCAAAACTCTGTCTCCATTTGCACACAGACAAGAACCCCAGACCCTCTCAGCTCAGAAATCTAACTCTGGCCACTAAGGCATTTTCCCTGACAAAACCGTTTCCACTGCAAGCTTGAGGGAAAAGCACAGTAGGTGTTAGTCCACATCTTCTCACGAAGGGATGCCGGAGGGGTGAGGCAGACACAAAGGAAGGGATGTGACTTTTAAGTCACCTCAAGTGACCCTGACGGTGAATGAGTCGACTTTCTGTCACTGGCTTTCCCTCTACAGATGCCGCTTCTCAAAGAAGCTCTGCAGGTTTCTGACTTTACTAAAAGTGCTTTCTTTTCCCTGAGGCGATGACAGCCCTAGAGCTAATGTTTCAAGACTGGGTTCCCCCCATTCATGACAGAGTGTGTGGTCACCTGCTCCCCTCAACTTTCATCTCTGCAGAACAGTCTCCGTTTCCAGTGCACTCTCCCTGTCCTCTGAACCTCTGTTCCCTTCTCTATGTCCTAGATAAAGCAATAGGAATGTCCAGTGTGGGGTGAAGTCCCTCCCGCACTTCTGCAGGAGATGCTGCTCTCGCAGCCAGCAGTGCCTTCCTAATGACGTCGGGAGCAGGGCCGGGCCCAGCATCACGACCGTCCCTCCTCCCTCAGCAAGGGTCTGGATCCTTTCCTATTTGTAGTAGTAATAGTTCAAATGCACATAAGCTTTATTTCTGATTTGTTTATAATGCTGGGGTGAGTCCAGGCCACTCAATGCTACCACTGAGCCACAGCCCAGGCCTCCCTGTGCTCATATTTACCTGCCATGTCTCACATTTACAACGCTGACTTTTCTATGTCTGTGCCTCTCTCTCCTGGCTGCCTTTCATTGCCTAGAAGCAGCAGCAATAACTGCATTTCAAGTTCTAGGTCATTTATAAAATCTGAACCGAGGGAGCTTCACTGCTAACAGTGTCTCCAGAAGATGTTCCCAGTTCTGTACTGTGTCTCCTCAGTGTAACAAACCACAGCCCTCTGACGACTGTGGTGAAATCTGCCTTGAAGAACATGACTGAGTCCTGCAAGTCTCAACAAACGCAACTTCATTCTTTCATAAATGTCTTTACCCTCGAAACACACGGGGTGGTGCCCCCCGCCCCCAGCCACAAGCATCACCAGCTCACAACAGACCATCTCGCCACGTAGTGACTTAATGATGCTTCTGTTGGGTCAGCAGGACTTGGAGCACAGCACAGAGCCGAGTTCTGACATCAGAATGGGAGCTCTTTCACAGTACCAGGAGGAAACCTAGATAGATTGACTTAAGTGGAAATCACATGATTTTAAAAAGCCGCAGTAACAGGGAGTGAGGCAGCACACTGAGGTGTTCAGAGCACGTATTTAGTTCCCAAACTACCGAGTGCTGAGGCTAGCAAAGGCAGAAAGTCACAGCGCTGTGGAAGAACCAGGTGACCGGGGACTCCTGTCAGGCACAGCTGTACAAACAGCTGTTCCCCTGCCTCACCATGCTCTCAGCTGAGCGCTGTTTCTTCATTTAAATTAAATCTCAAACCAATTGTTATGCCAGGAAGACAGTCAAAGCATCACAATGAAATTCAACAGAGAAGTTGACCCAAGGCTACCAGCCAAGATGGTATGAGCCTAGCTCCTATTCCTCCGGCTCCCTGACCTCAGGCCTCCTCTGCCCCAACCTCTGAGATTGGGCTTTTTCCTGATCTACTACAAAATTCAGGCCAAAGACGTTTCAGGAAGCCATAGGAAGCAATGGGACGGGATCTTTGGTGGCTGTGCATGTGAGTCAGGTGGACACTTGTTCACACAGGCCATAAAGGAAGCAAACACCACTGCATGAAACCATAAGGTGCAATGCTCTACAGTATAGAGAAAATTCCTCTCATATGCAGAGGGCTACAAGGCTACATAATGGCAAGACAGGGTGTAGGGCCTGGTATCCCAGTTCCCGGATGCAGCTGTGCTCCACCTGGGCTAACAACCAGCAGGAAGCACACAAGGGAGTGACCTGGGAGCTCCCAGCCCCGCTGGCTCCTCGGCACCTCTGTCCTAGGTGGTGCAGTTGCTGGTGATACCTTCTCTCCTCAGCACAGATGGCTGAGCTGCTGTCAGAGCTCAAAGAGAGGGTTGTACTTCCTAATCTCCTGGAGAAGTCTTTCTTTGTCCTGGTTGGCAATGGCCAGTGCTTGTTTGGTGTCCTTAAGTTCTTGCTGTAGGGTAGGCAATTCTCCCTCCTGAGGGATAAGTAATTCACCATTAGGGAACCACCAACATGGAGCGGGGGAAGAATTCAACAGAAGCACCAGTAGGGCAATGACTAAGAAAACTCAGTTTTCCAAGGGTCCCATTCCCTCTGCGGAGCTCAGCAGCTCCAGGGATAGGACAGCAGTGGCCACTCCGCCACAGGCTCCTGTCTACAGCTGCTGCTCCAGGAGCCCACACGGCCCCTCCACACAGCAGACAATCCTTTACACCTCTGGGTTTCATTGCCCGAGAGGCTTATGGGAAGGCTAGGTTATAGGTTAGGTCCTCACCTGCAGTCCCAAGCTCTGTGCTGTGGGTATCAGCACTTGTTCTTTTGTGAGCTGCTGCTTCTCAGGCTCTTCCGACAACGCCCTGTCCTGAGCCGGAGCTGGAGCCGGAGCTGGAGCCGGAGCTGGAGCCGGAGCCGGAGCCGGAGCTGGAGAAATAACCATTTTAATTGACAAATGGCTGCTAACAGCCAGGCAGGTCCTGCTTGTCAACTACATTGACTTATCAGAGAAAAGATGCAGAACGGAGAAGCCAAGACGCCTAACTCACCGCCAAGGTGAAACACACCATCGTCATTTCGCTTCAGCACAAGATGCTCCACTGCCAGAGTGATGGGGACAGGGCCAGGGGATGTTGGATAGATGGGAGGGGTGTCATCCTGAAGGGCAGAGAGGAAGCACGTGACTTTCCCCCCCAAACAGGGCAACACACCCATACTTCTGCCACTCAGCTCAAGGCAGTCTGACACCAGTGATTCTCCAGACATTCTTTCGTTTTTAATTACATTTGGTTACTATCCGTGTGTGTTTCTGTCTGTGTCTGTGTCAAGGCTCTCATGTGGAGGTCAGAGGACAATTTGTGGGAACAGTTTCTCACCTTCTACCATGTGAGTCCCAGGGATTGAACTTGGGTCCTCAGGCTTGGCAGCAAGTGCTTTTACCCACTGACCCATCTTGCAAGCTCACCCACACATTCCTGCAAGGTATAAGAGACATAACCAAGCCTTGCCCATCCTACAGATGGTGAGACTGAGATTACACAACTAGGAGCTTCTCATGGTTGGGTTACAAGACAAAGACAGGGTTAGATCACAAATGACCTGGGCTTTGTGAGTGAGTGTGTGTTTGTGTGTCATGAGCATGCCTGGTGCCTGACATGTGTGTATGTATGTGTGTGTGTCATGAGTATGCCTGGTGCCTGACGTGTGTGTATGTATGTATGTGTGTATCACGAGCATGCCTGGTGCCTGCAGAGGTCAGAAGATGGAGTCAGATGCCCTGGAACTGGAGTAACAGATGCTTGTGAACCACCAAGTGGATGCTGGGAAAGAAACTCAGGTCCTCTGCACGAGCAGCCAGTGCTCTTAACCGCGGAGCTTTCGCTCCAGACCCCCTGCAACCCTCTTTTGCGAGTACTTCTCACTGAACTTGAAGCGCAGTGACTAGCGAGTCCCCCAGAAATGGTCTCTTCAGATGCGGTCCTTACAATTGAGTGGCGGGTACTTTCCCCGCAGAGCTAGCTTCCTACCCGATTTAGGCTTTTACCTGTGCCACCCATTCCCACACTACTGAAATACAGACAGTTAATGCCGTGAGGTGACAGGGAAGACACTGCCACTGCAGAGTCCAGAGCTGACACCAAGGTCCCTCTCACCTTGAGGGTGATACTGGAGTCCAGGAGTTCAATCTGCATTGGGACGACCACTGGGACTTCCTCGTCCTCCAAAAAAGGCCCCAGACCATTGAGTACTGAGGTGAATAGCTCCAGGTCACAACCCCGAAGCAAGAACCGCAGGAAGCCATTTTGTGTGGCCAGTGGGGAATGAACAGATGCACCAGGCCCCACCTCAAAGCGCAGACCCACAGCAGGCCTGATGTGGCCAGTCTTCGGATTTGAGGATTCCTGGAAGCTTGTGCCTTGAGAAGAGAGCCGAGGAAAACGTATTACCACTTGGGTAAGCACTCCCGCTATGCCCCATACTCACAACCCTAGGCCAGCATATTAGCACCATCCCACCTCACAGGAGTGAACAGAGTCACAGAGAGTCACTCGCCCAGAGGTACACTACTGGATGGAGCAGAGCTGAGTCTGAAGTCAGGCAGTACATGCCCAGGAGTGGGGAAAGGCCCAGGGGTCTGAGGTACTGGACTAACGGTGCAGCCCCAGCATCTTTTCCTCCGTATCTGTCACTCATCCGCGCTGACCCCTCTCCAGGGCCATGGAGGACACTGAGTCAACCCGAGGAGGACACCCAGCATGGAAAAACCGCAGAAACCAACGCCTAGGCAGCGGAAGCACCTGCTTTAGGATCCAGAGCTCAGGGCGGAGCTCAGGGACACAACACCCAGGGCAGCCCAGAGCACGTGCACCAGGGAAGAGACCCACAGAGGTTCACAGCCCCTTTCCTGTCCAGTGACAAAAGGTGGTGTGGTGGCACATGCCAGTGAGCACAGGACAGGAAGAACAGTCAGGAGTTCAAGGTCAGCCTGAGACAGAGCTGAGCTGCAAGTCAGCATGGACTGCAGATGTGAGAACAGGCCTATAAACAAACAATAAAACTACAAACAATCCAGCCAGACGGTGGTGGCCACAGTTGCTGTCTTGAAAAACCAAAAAAAAAAAAAAAAAAAAAAAAAAAGAGAAAGAGACAATAGAAACAAAAGAATTTTGTACTATTCAACTTATACCTTAAGACCTGGGGTGGAGGCACCCCAAAGGTAGAATACTGTAAAAATGAACTGATCTAACTCAAGAACCCAGAGCGCCAAGCAGACCAGATTTGAGTCGAGCATGTGGTAGCACGTGACAACAACCCTAGCAGCGGGGAGGCTGAGGTTCAGGACCACCCTCAAACACGCCACTTTCTGCAGAAAGGGTCAGGAGCACTGCTCATGCAGACTCCCAGATTCCACTCCCAGCCCCAATGGCAGCTCACAACCATCCGTTACTCCAGTTCAGGGGGGAAAGCATCCTCTCCAGGCCTCTGCAGGCACAAAGCATGAACCTGGTGTACACACTTCCATTCAAGAAAAACATGAAATAAAATCAATCATTAAGATTTGTTCATAGCCGGGCGGTGGTGGCGCACGCCTTTAATTCCAGCACTCGGGAGGCAGAGGCAGGTGGATCTCTGTGAGTTCGAGGCCGGGCTGGACTGATAGCCTCCAAAACAATACAGAGAAACCCTGTCTCGTAAAACCAAAACAAAAAAAATTTTTGTTAATAAAGCCTGGAGTAGTGGCACACACCTTTAATCTCAGCACTCAGGAGGCAGAGGCAGGTGGATCTCTGCCAGTTTGAGGCCAACCTGGTCTACAAAGCTACATAGTGAGACCCTGTCTCTGCAAAAACAAAAACAAAAACAAAAACAAAAACAAAAGATTTTCCAATGAAAACAATGTTTTGTGAAAAAATCAAATCACAAAATAATAAACACCATAAGTCTATTTAGGAAACTATTCAAAATTAAGTAACATATTGACAGAACAGGTGTTGGCAGATGTCATTTTGTAAAAATGTGTCTGATTGGTTTGAATAAAGCACTGTTGGCCAATAGGGAAGCAAGATAGGTGGGACTAGGAGTCGAGGAGGATTCTCGGAAAGAGGGACACAGAGAGACACGATGTAGCCTCCAGAGGATTAAGAGGTTCAGACCCTTTCTCCGGTAAGAGAAATACTTGGATTAACAATTATGGGTTAAATAATTAAGTCAGAGCTAGCCAGTAAGAAACAAGCAAACAGCCAACAGCTTCATAATTAATATAGCATCCTGTGTGTTGTTTGGGGGTTCAGACAGCGCGGCAGGGCCCAGGAGACGGGCAAGGAAGGCCACACCCTACAAACAGGTGGCAAAGTTACAAGGTAATACAAGAGGAGGGTTGCTCAGGACAGCTGAGGCCAGGCCAGAGGCGTGTCAGGGGTGAGTGCCCAACAGGTGGTGAGGTGCTCACGGGCCAGGTGTAAGTGTGAGGTACATAAGGAAGGCGTAAGAATCCACTGCAGTGCTATCATTTCATGTGTATGTTACAGTCTTTGGTATCTACTTAAGATTTTTAAAAATATTAAATGAAGCCTATATAACATACGCCAGATTCTTCCTGCCATTTGGACATGATGGACATGAATGACAGACGTTCCCGTCAGATACAGCTTCTTGTTGGCAGCCACAAGACAAAGGAGAGGGCTACCCACTGAGTGTAAGGCCCAGGAAGAGCTCTGCAGGCCTCCTGTCAGACAGCGATTCAGTGGAGATTCCCTGCCCCCGCCGCCCACCACACTGCTTGGCACTGGAGCAAACGCTCTGACGACACAGGGCCAGGTAACCTTGCCTGCCTGGGGACCAAGAGCCCTGATGACACAGGGCTGGGTGCCCGCTAACCTCCCCTGCCTTGGGAAATCCCACCACTCCACTGGATCAGCCATCATCTGTGTGTACCTGGGCACTGTCCATGTAGAAACTGCCAGAGGCCAACACTGCCCGACTGCTGCAGGCCCAGTGCTTCTGCTTGCAAGGCTACCATCAGGTCCTCCCCACGGACCTCGATCCCCAGTGACACTTCCTTCACCTTCAGGACCAAAACCGACACCTGTCAAAAGAGACTCTTAGTTTTAAGCTCCAGCCTGGGGCTTGGCCCAGAGCCCCCTCCTGCACAGAAGACGGCACGGCAGCTGACCGAGGGAAGGACGAGGTCACCACTGGCGGACACTGAGCTGCTGGTCTCTGGCAACCCCTGGCCACAGTTATCCAGAACAGGGCTCCCTTGAATGCCACTGTCATCTAAAACACTTGTCACAGATGCTGATGGGACACACTCTGGACCAGACTCTGCATGAAGAAAGTAATAAAAGAGGTCAAAGGTCAGAAAGGTCTGTTCCCTTCAGAAAAACACAAAATAACTGGACATTTGAAAACCAACCAAAGAGCTGATGAATTTAAGAACTTGTTTTTTAAATTACAATAAATACTGCATTTGGTCAAATTTAATACAACCTGTCAACAGAAGCAACCACTGGTGGTCAACAAGTAATCAGCACGCACACACAGAGACAGACAGACAGACAGACAGACAGACAGACAGACAGACAGACAGGCCAATATAAGGACTTAAAATGAAAGGAAATTCCACACTACACAAGAGAACTTAAGAGTCTAGCGTACACTGTACTGAATGGAATAAACACACCATAAAGCAGCGCATGGCAGCACACGCCTAGAATCCAAGTACACAGGACACCTGGGGGCCACAGGTTGGAGGACCTGCTTCTGTTCCCAGTGCCTCACAACTGTCTGTAACTTCAACCCCAGAGGACCAAACACTTTCTTCTGGCTTCTGAGGGCACCTATGCTCACGTGTACATAGCCATACAGATGCACAACTAAAAACAAACATGCTTTCAAAAAGTCAAAACCACCTCCACACCAAAAGAGAGACACAGAGAGAGAGAGAGAGAGAAAGAGAGAAGAACCAGGCATGGTGTGAACGCTTTAAATCCCAGCACTCTGGAGGCAGAGACAGGTGGATCTCTGTGAGTCCAAGGCCAGCCTGGTCTACAGAGTACTCAAGGAATATGTGCACTGCCGTATACTGTAGCCTAGTCACAATTACCAAGTCACACAAACGACATGTGTCCATTATCCAGTGACTAAAGAGAAGTGTGTGTGTGAGCATGCAGGAAAACCTGACACTTGAGGCCATATGGACAGAAAGGTACAAATCACATACTATCACTTATATGTGGTATAGGAAACAATCAGACACATTGCAAATAAAAGAATGATCTTACTATGGAGAGTGTAAAGATGCTGGCCAGAGGGCATCCTTCAGCCAAACAGGAGGAGTAGATGGCATACCATGTGAGACAACACTACACATAACACACACGTTACAATTTGGAAAATAGGGAGTTCAAGGCTAGCCTGGGTTACATGAGACCCCCCCCAAAAAAACCCCAAAGAATTAAACATTAAAATAACCTAGGAGCTGTGTGAAGTCATAGAAACATGTGTACTGCATTTCCTCTCTTCTGGTCAGGAAAATATCTATTGCAGTTCCGCCTGACCCTGCTGGAGTGAGTATCAGCTAGAGAGCATGCACCCCCTGGACTAACGCAGCTTGACTCCTACAAACCTGACTCCAAGAGCATCACAAAGCCATCACTGCCATCACTGTCTACAGAAATCCGGTCTTCAGGGCCACCACTGTCCACTGAGACGCCATCAAATGACTGCTGAGAGACTGTCCTCTTCATGGAGAAAAACCGAAGCCGGGCAGCACCCCCGCTCACTGGGGTTGCCACCCCCTCTTCTGTCTTGGCCACGGCTTCCCTATGTTTGAAAAAAAAAAAAAAGTAAGAAAAAACAAACCACCAATTCGGCTTTGAGGACCTGTTTGTTCCCTTTCAACTCACCCAGCCTCAGTCTAGCACACTTCCCTAGCTCAGAGGGTTAATGTGAACACACACTTGCCGCTTGAGTATTTTAACTACCTAACCAGCCAGTAACAGTAAATCTCAAGGTTATTCAGGGTCATGCCACTTGCAGAAGAGGTTGGCTACCTTACCACCCTGGTAATAATAAGTGGTGCCAAAAGCACTGAATGCATTCCACGGTCTCCTTTCTATGAATTTGTGTATGTGGGTGCACACACGCGTATATGCATGCACAGATGCGTGGTTTCTGAGGTGGCCAGAAGAGGGTGCGAGGCTCCCTGAAGCTGAGTTACACAAAGAAGGTTATGAGCCTTCTGACTGATGTCCTGCAGGAGCAGCAAGAACTCTCAAAGGGTGAGCCGTCTGTACAGCCCCGCTGCACAGACCTTTACTCAATTATTCTGGAGAGACAAGAGTATAAGAGTACGTACGCATCCCCTACTCTCAGAGGAAAGACTGGTCAACAGCCATGTTCTACAGGACTGAGTCACGCAAGCCCTCGGAGGCCAGAAGAGAAATGATCAAGAATGGCCTTTTAGGAAATGGCGGTTTTCTTCCTTTGGTTTTGAAACTAAAGTCTTTCTCTGTAGCCCTGGCTGGCCCAGACCTTGGAGTCCTGAGTTCCGGGGTTACAAGTCTGTGCCACCACACTCGGTGTGGGTGTCCCTGAAGGACTGTGGAAAGCAGCAGCATTCCAGGAGGGAAACGGCACCAGACGAGCACCAGGCTAGACACAGGGGGAGTGCTTTTGTGAGAAGCTCTGCCTGGCTCTGCTCAGGTGCAGTGGGGCTGGAGAGGAAAGGAGACCCTGGAGGACAGATGGGGTTGTCAACGGTAAAGGTGGAGGAGGAAACCCAAGTCCTCTAACCTCCACTAAGTGCTTCTCCGACCACACAGACTGCGTCCAGGTCATAAAAAAGATGTAATTAAAGCTGTTGTTGTTTTAAAACTTGGTGGAGGTCGTGTCTTTGAGACAGTGTCTCAAACTCATAGCAATCAATCTTCTAGAATCCCAGAAGTGCTGGAATTACAGAAGTGAACTCAGCTTTAAAATTTTTTTAAAGATGAGCCGGGCGTTGGTGGTGCACGCCTTTAATCCCAGCACTCGGGAGGCAGAGGCAGGTGGATCTCTGTGAGTTTGAGGCCAGCCTGGTCTATAGAGAGATTTCCAGGACAGCCTCCAAAACTACAGAGAAACCCTATCTAAACAAACAAACAAATTCTTAAAGATGGAGCTGCAGACAGCTTGGTGGTTAAGAGCACTGGATGCTCTTCCAGGGGACCTGGGTTCAGTTCCTAGGACCTACATGGCAGCTCACAGCCATCTGTAACTCCAGTCTGGAAGGACCCAACACCTTCTTCTGGCCTCTGCAGATGCTGCGCCCATATGGTGCGCAGACATAAATGCAGGCAAAACTCAATAGTAAATTAAGACAAAATAAATCTTTAAAATGTAGAAAGAAAAAGGGAGGCCAGGTGTTGTGGAATTATTAGTTTAAACTAGGCAAAGATGTGTTACATTTGTTTATGCGTTGCTGTTTCACTCTGCCTGCCTAAGGCACCTGGTTGGTCTAATGAAAGGTTGAATGGCCAGTAGCTAGGAGAGGAGGGACAGGGGAGACTGGTGGGCAGAGAGAGGAGGAGGAGGAGGAGGAGGAGGAGGAGGGTGCAGGCTCCGCAGGTACCGAGGAGAACAAGGGAGGGAGAGGAGGCCGCCAGTCAGCCAGGCACAGAGCAAGCAGGGAAACAGGACACACAGAATGTGAGGTAAAAAGCCCCAGGGCAAAGCACAGATGAAGAAAACAGGTTAAATTAAGTTATAAGAGCTGGTGCACAAGCGTAAGAGAAGGGCAAACACTCATAACTAATACTAAGTCTCTGTATCATGATCTGGGAGCTGGTTGGTAGCCGAGAGAAGTCTGTTACAGTTGGGAAAAGGCAGCTGGAGAGACAGCCGTGTGAAGACATCGGGAGCATGCCAGGCATCCTCTCTCTCTGTCACCTCTCTCTGTCACCTTCTCTCCCACATCCCTAACCCGTCTCCATCTTGGGGAGGAAAAGCTGGTGCTTAGGAACCTGGCTTCCAACCTTTATCCCACTACTCAGAAGTTACGTGACATGCTTTCTTTTTGACACTGGTCTTTAGTTAAACAGTGATAACTCATGTTCCAGAGGAGCTGTACCGTCCTCAGCAAGTCTGTGCCTTGCTGAGCTGTACCTTATGAAATGAGGTCTGGTATCAGTCAGTCTGTCCCACAGGACTGGAGGAATTCAGCAGGTAAATATCACACTAAAGGCAGAACCCAGCACACAGGAATGTTCAGTCTAGTATCATTACACACTTGTCATTCTGTGTGTGTGTGTGTTCACATGTGCATGTGTTTACAGATGCATGTGCAGACCAGAGTCAACATCAGGTTATCGCCCTCAACTGCTTCACCACATATTTTGAGACAGGGTTTCTCAGTTCACCTGGAGCTCCCCAGCTTAATTAGAAATAATGGCCAGCAAGTCCAAAGAGTCCTCCGTGTCCTCCTCTCTAGCTTTAGGATTACAGGCAGATGCCCAGCTTTTTTTATGTTGGCTCTGGGTACACCAACTAAGCCATCTCCTCGGCCACCAAAGACCCCTGTGAGGCTTCCACCTCTTCCTCCCTGGCTGACTACCCTAGCAGGCACTGTATACATACAGGCATTACACACAGAACCACTTAGGACAACTCACACAGAAAAAAAGTCCCAAGGAGCTGTGGGGATGGTTCCTTGGCTACAGCATCTGCCACCCAAGATGAGGACCAGAGTTCCGATCCCTAGAACCACCAAACACTGGTGGACATAGCATCCCACCTGTAATTCAGGTTTGGGAGGTAGAGACAAGCAAGCTAGCCAGCTAGACTAGATGTCTAGGTGAGTTCTGGATTTGACTAAGAGATTTTGCCTCAATGAGTAAAGTGGAAGAGGAATCCAGAAGGATTCAAAGGGTCAACCCTTGGACCTCCACACACGCACACTCACAGAAAAACGGAAAAGAGGACCCGGAGAGCTGGCTCAGCAGTTAAAAGCACCAGCTACTCTTCCAGAAGACCTGAGCTCACAATCCCAGAGGATTTCATACCTGCTGGCTTCTTTGGGTACTGCACTTACATGCAGACAAAACTCCCATAGACAAAACAAATTTATTTAATGGAAAAGAAAAAAAGCTCTAATTCCTTGACCGTAACAGCATGGTCTGTGAGTCACCAAATGCACCATTGTGCCATTTTAACTTTCTCCCCCTCCCCTTTGGTTTGTCTGTGTATTGCTGGCTGTCCTGGAACTCGCTCTGTAGACCAGGCTGGCCTCGAACTCACCGAGATCCGCCTGCCTCTGCCTCCCGAGTGCTGGGATTAAAGGCGTGCGCCACCTCCGCCTGGCCCATTTTCTTTCTAAAACCACAAGAAACTCACAGGAAAATCCAACTTGTGCCTTTCCATGTTTCTCTTTCACCCTATTGTATCCCCAGTACAAGAGAATGCACAGCAAGCTCAACACTGCCATCCTTTCCACTGCTCCAGCAGACGCTAGTGCGGCCCTGCTACAAAAAGCCAGTGCCAAGGCCCAGCTCTTGAGTCAGGAGAGCACAACCTCTCCCAGGCACCAATCTCCTCAACTACAAATGAGAAATGCAAAGTTCAGCAGCTACTTTGCTAGGCTATCATGGAGGTCCAATTAAACAAAGAGACTTCGAGATAACCCAATGCAGTAATGTTTACATCAGAGTCAGGCGCAGAGACACACACCTATCTGTAATGCCAAGACTCAAGATGAGGCCAGAAGACTCAAACTTATATAAAAAAATCTGTTTCGGCACTAATAAAAATTCTGTTGCTGTGGGAAAAAATAAAGTTCATTTCCAGGCCAGCCTGGGATATACAGTAGGACTCTGTTGTTGGGGACTATTATTTTACGGCGTGTGACTTTTGTTTATGCTGCATTCGTTTAACTCTGGGAAGCTGTGATTCTTTGCTTGTCTAAAACACCTGATGGTCCTAATAAAGACCTGAACAGCCAGGCTGGAGAGATGGCTCAGAGCACTGGCTGCTCTTCCAGAGGTCTTGAGTTCCCAGCACCCACATGGTGGCTCACAACCATCTACAGAGATCTGGCCTACAGGCAACATGCAATGCAGGCAGAACACTATATACATAATAATTTTTAAAAAGAAGACCTGAGCGGCCAATAGTAAGGCAGGAGCAAGGATAGGTGGGGCTGACAGGCAAAGTATAAACAGGAGGAGAACCAGGGAGGAGAGGAGCAAGAGAATGAGGAACCCAGCCACCATGGAACAGGGAAAGCCCAGCAGAGGGACAAGATAGACAGGATGATCTACGTTAAGAAAAGCTGGCTAGAAACAAGTCTAGCTAAGGACATGTGTTCAGAGCTAAGAATGAGCTTCCATGTGTGGGAGCTGGGTGGGCGAGGCCCCCCAGAGCAAAAACAACCAATAATACACAATACATTGTCTTGTCTCAGAACTTAAGATTTGGGCCAGGAGTATGGCTTAGTGCTGAAAGTACTTGCCTAGAATTGTAAGGTCTTGGTTTCCTTAGCAACAAGAACAGACTATGGATGCTAGGTACTATTATTCTGACACAGCCTAATCTGTGTCATAATTGTGAAGCTACAAATGTTGACTTGAAGCCTTCTTATTCAACCAGTCATCCCCACTCCCATTTATTTTTATTTATCTATTTTTGTTTTTTTTCAAGACAGGGTTTCTTTGTGTAACAGCTCTAGCTGTCCTGGAACTGGCACTTTAAGACCAGGCTGGCCTCAGACTCACAGAGACCTGCCTTAAACATATGTGCCACCACCACCCTGTCTACAGTTTACTTTTATTTTATGTGCATTGGTGTTTTGCCTGCATTTATGTCTGTGTGAAAGCATCAGATATGACTCCAGTTACAAATGTGAGCTGCCATGTGGTGCTGGGAATTGAACCAGGGTCCTCTGGAAGAGCAGTCAATGCTCTGAACCACTGAGCCATCTCTCCAGCCCACCCCCATTTCTTCTCTAAGAGTGCACACAGCAGATGGCCTAGAGCCCACCGGTCAGAAAAGTGGAGTAATTAAAGGAGGCTGAGGACCACTCACTTGGCGGGAGGCAGGGACAACATTTTGTGCATGGTGGAGGTCATTCGGTCTCTGCCCAAACTGAAGGCATCTCTGGTCAGGGACACCGCTTCCTTGGTGAGGTCCATGGTAGCATGGAGAGCCTCTTTTGTGGCATCCTTGGTCATGTGAATCGCACTGGATAATTCCCCCTCGATGTTCCTCAAGGGTATGGGCTCCCCTTGTCCATTCATAGCAGCGTCCTTGTCAGCTGGGGACTTCAAGGCAGCCGGTGAGCCAGCAGCTTGAGTTCTGCTCAACTTCTTGGCCTGTAGAGACTCAACTGCCTCGTGGCTCTTCCCTGCTGGCTGCTGTGGGAGTGGACCACGGTCCTGGGGCACTCCATCATTGTGTCCATCATTGTGCAGCATTTCCTGGGACACATCCAGGTTTTCAACACTGCTGTCCTTCAGGACTTTCTCAGGGCTTACTGGGCCCTGGTCTGAGGAGGCGTCGGACTTCAGCTCCCGATCCTCTGAGGGAGACAGCTCTGAGTCTATGAGGCTGGTGGTGTCTGAGCCTGCAGAGTCAGCATCAGCAGTGCCAGGCGCAGGATGCATGAGGAGTGCCACCTCGGCACTGGGGAAGAGGACACCGATGCACGCTGTCTGGTCCTGCAGGGGAGACCCTGTCATGGCTTCCGTGTCCTTGCTCAGCTGCTCCTGAAGCCCCTGAAGCCCGTCCTTCAGACGGAGCAGAGCCAAGTACTGGTAGTGGTCCAGCCTCACCCGGAGGTGGGCAGGGGAGTGCACGAGCATGTGAACATCTGCCACGCCCTCCAGTTCTGACGCATGCCCTCTGTGGTCCACACCAGCACCATCTTCTCTCATAACCTCGGAGGCTTCAGTAAAGCCCGACAGGCTTCTCAAGTCCCGTTCAGTCTTCGACCTCTGATGGGACACAGACTCAGGGGCAAGAGCTTCAGAACGTACAGGGCTGCCAAAGCTGGCTGAAGGTTTCAGTCTCCCCTCTGAGGCCAAGAGGAGCCGCCGTGCCTGGGCTTGCTGCCAGCGGAGAGGAAGGCAGGCCCAAATGGACAAGGGGAAGGGGGCCACAAAATTCAAGGTATGGCCTTTGAAGTGCTCTGTGCCCTCAAAGTCCAAGGAGATCTGGGTAAAGTGCAGAGACCAAAGATCCTGGGAGGCGGCAGGCCTCTGAGGAGGGAGGGGGCTGGGCGGGGCCGAGAGGGAGCCCATCTGGAAGGCATGGTGCAGAAACAGCATGTGCAGGAGGCTGAAGCCCCCGGGAGCCTTGGGAAAGTGGGCGTAACTGGGACGGAAGAACTCAGCAGCAGCAAAGCGCCGGAAGAGACTCTGGAGGTCTGGACAACCACAGTGTGGGGCATGCCGAGTGTTGGTGGCGGTCATTCCCGAGGTGGACAAGACGAGCGCCTGGGGACGATGCGGCTTTGCGGGCTCTCTCCTCTCCAGCGGGAAGCTCACCTTCAGAGAGGAAACGAGACACAGTGAAGGCTATCCCAGCAGACATGTGGGCATCTGAAGCGGATTTTCTTACTTGTACCAAGCGGACACAAGAGAAGTGCAGATCACAACCTTGAAGAAACAAGCTATGTCTACCCGCAAGTGCCAAAAGTCTAGTTCTGTCCCTACCTTCAACCAGAATGCATCCAGCCGAATGTCCAAGTGCTCATCTTTTTGCCTTGAATCTTCCAGCTTATAGATAGCTTTGAACTGCTCCAAGCTGCGGTATAAATCCAGGCAAAAGAGGTTTCCCCAAAGCAAGCTGACGGGATCCATGGTAAACGTCAGGCCATTTAACTGGATGTAGAGATTGGGGCAGGGAACTGGAGGCAGAGAAAACAAGGGCAGCCATTCACCACAGAGCAGCCGATGCTTCACCATCAAACCAGCAAAGACGCACCCTTGCACAGCGCGGAGTTGCGTTTCTTTTGATTGTCAGACAAGATCTCACAAATCCCAGGCCCACGTCACCCTCGCTATGTAGCCATGGATGACGCTCTGCCTCCACCTCCCAGAGTGCTGAGAGCAAAGCTGTGCGTCTCCACACTGAGCTATGTGGTGCTGGGGAAGCTTCGTGCACGCTAGGCCAGAGCTCTGCCAGCCGAGTTCAGCTGCAGCCCCAGCCCAGGGCAGTTTTTAACTTAGACTCGCAAGGCTCCTAACCACAAGTGAGGCTGCACACAGTGGTCTCCAAGCTGACGAAGGTGAAGGCCACCAACAGAAGAAACGGCGAGCGCAGGGGCTTACCTGGAAGCTCCTGATTATCGGGAAAGTAATACTCTGTGAACTGTACGTGGATGGCAGCCACCTGAGTTGGAAGGTGGTGGTGTTTGCGGCTGCAGGAGAGCAGAGTGGAGGGCTTCTTACTTGGCTGTCCAGCTGTGGAGACCTGAGTAACCACAGCATTGTTAGCCTGTGTCACAGCACCTACAACACGACCGTTTCCTAAGGAACGCACGCCTCTGCCATCCCACAGCCCTCCCTGAGGGAAGCACAGGATTTTCCACACGTTCCAGACACGGTCACACTGTGCTGCACTATCCCCAGATTGTTGTGCTGTTTGGTTGGGGGGGTGGGTCTCACGTAGTATAGGCTGGTCTCAAACTGCCAATGCAGCAGAGGATGGCCTTGAACTCCTGTCCCCACTTCCAAAGTGCTAGGATTACAGTACTTCAACCAGTCCAAGTTCATTTTCAGCAGGAGGTTGTAATTCAACATCCTGAGAACATCCCAAGGCCATGCTCAACAGAAACCAACTATCCATCTACTCAGGGGTGAAGCCAACAGGTCCTGGCTTCCATGTCGGGGTTCATGCTGTTCTACACTACCCCAAACCCTCCAATGTCCCCTGTGTCTTCACCTGGTGGATGTCCAGGTCATCCACTCGTACAACCAGGCAACTAGAACGTAAGCGATTCCATGCTGGAGGCCCAAAGGCAGCCTGCCAGCCCTGAGCAGGGTTTTTGTCAAGAGGGCTCTTTCCGGGACTAGAAAAAGAATCTGAGTAAAAAGGAAAAAAGAAATAGATACATTCATCTTTCATTATTAATAAAATTTAGAATTAAAAATCCAAGATAGCCGGGCGTTGGTGGCGCACGCCTTTAATCCCAGCACTCGGGAGGCAGAGGCAGGCGGATTTCTGTGAGTTCGAGGCCAGCCTGGTCTACAGAGTGAGTTCCAGGAAAGCCTCCAAAACAATACAGAGAAACCCTGCCTCGAAAAAAAAATAATCCAAGATAATTTAAATAGTATGAAGCAGAAAGAGAGCTCAACACTGGTGGCAACTTGGTAACAGTCTCCGTGAGTTCAAGACCACAGTCTACGATACGGACAAACAGGTGTCTGTAACTGCAGCTACCGCTGCTGACAAAGGAACCCGACATCACACCGTGAGATGCAACTGGGTGAATAGAGTCATCTCCGTCAGCTACCCAGAGCCAAACAGCAACTAGAGGCTTCCAGGTCCTCGAAACCTACCTGCTTTCTTCCGGAACGCAGAGTCTCTGCCCAGATGCCATGATGATTTCAGACTGGTCTCCTCCTGCCACTTCTCCATCTGACTCTGAAACTCCATCACCAGCGTCTGGGCCCAGTGGCCTCGGGTCTCCATGGCCTCACAGTGCCGCACCCAATGTTTACAGCTGTCACCTGTGGAATAAAGAAGAGCAGAATTTGAGGCCAATGTCACAGACCAGTGTTCCAGTGTGTTCCTCCTGACAGGATAGACCCCTGCCCCAACCCAGAATTTCCTGGGATAAGAGAAAAATGCTGCCTGAGAGCACCCATCCCCTCTTAGATGGGTTTTAACCCTGGTGATCTAGAGGGGCAGCTCGCGCTTCCTCTGGTCATCACCAACAGCATGCACACAGGTTTGCAGATTTCCTCAGAGGAAGAGGCTCCCAGCACCCCTCTGAGCATATGCAGAGTATCCAGCATTCTTTTGCTGGCTGGTCAGCTGCATACCCAGAAATCCACTCTCAATTATCTGGGGCCATGCTACAACACACTGCATTTCTCTAACCTGCCCAGTGGAAGGGGTAGTAGTCAAAAGCCATCTTGCGGAAGGTAAGCTGCATGGCGCCACCTGTGAGTCTGTTTGCAGAGACACCTGTGAAAGAAAGACACAGGTGAACAGTGCTGAGGGGGCAAAGAACCCTAAGCATCACTTGAACCACTAGGAAGTCCTCTGCAGGGCTGGACCCAAGCCTGAACCTCTAGGAAATGCTCTGCAGAGCTGGTCCTCAATCCTCTTGGCAAGAGCCAACAGTGTTCTTAACTAACGAGCCCATATCTGTGCTTTATATACTAAAAAAAAGTACAAAGATTTCTTTGTTCAGTTAGTGGATAAGAAACAATAACAATGGTTTTAAATTAGCTATTTTAAAGCTACTAGTATTTAAAACTTAAAACTATAATTACAGATAATGTTTTGGGGATTTCTGTTGATTTTTAGGCAAGGTTTCATCAAACTCAGGCTACTCTCAAACTTACTGATCACAGCTAAGAGTGACCTTGAGTTCCTGATACCCCTGCCTCCATCTCCCAACTGCTAGAATTAAAATAAGTACAACTACAGTAATGCACTCCTTTTATTTGGGGAAAGAATATTCTTCATTGGTTGTTTTATTTTTTTCCAAGACAGGGTTTCTCTGTGTAGCAGGTTTGTCTGTCCTGCAAATTGCTATATAGATCAGGCTGACCTCAAACTCACAGAAATCCACCTGCACCTGCATCCTGAGTACTGGGATTAAAGGTGTGTGCCGGCTTCCTTTTTTCCCCAGGGTGTGGGGACAGTCTCGAGAGAGTCTTGCTAGGTGACATAAGCTACCTCAAACTCATGACAGTACTTCTGCCGTAGTCTCCAGAGCACTAGGATCACATATACGCTCACTATAACCATCAAGTGCACTATGTAACCTTGGCTAGCCTCAAACTCAGGAGACCCATCCAGCACTAAAGGCGTTCACCACCACTCCAAGTCCACATGCAACACTGGGAAGAAATGACTCAAAACAACAACTACTCCAACAATCACTGCCTCTGAGGACAAAGCCACGCTGCTCCGTGTCTCCTCTTACAATGGAAGTGGAGTCACCGCAAGACCAAGGAGGAAAAGGCAAGCGTGAGCCCTGACACATTAACAGAGGCACATACACAGCGCGAGTTGCAGCTCCATGGTACAGCATGTGCCCAGGACTCACCAGGCCCTGGGGTCGGCCCCAACACTATCAGAATACGTAAGTAAACGGGGGCGAGCAGCAAGCGCAGCCTACAGAAGTTAGAGCACTAGAAAACGCTGTCAGCCGGGAGCATCAGAGAGCATGAGGGACCAAAGGAACAAAAACACTGCAGGAGTAAGCAAGTGAGTCGAAACTAAGCGTAATGACGACTCCAGGGGCCCCAAAGCCAGCAGACGTAATCTCACTTGGGCCTGACAATGGCTTTGAGGTAAATGAGCAAAGACTGACTTCATTCAGTTTCATAAGTGAGGCTACCCGAAGAAATTAAGTAAAAGGACATTGGCTTCTTTCTGCAGGACTCATAAAGAAACGTCTGAATAAATATAAACACACACGTATAATCCTATCTTAAACATGCCACTAACATGACATAACCTCCCTACACATATAAATACAGTATATATAATTGGGAGAGGTATTGAGACAGGGTCTCACTATGTAGCCCTCCCTGGCTGTCCTAGAACTTGCTATGCAGACCATAATGGCCTTGAACTCATAGAGACCCTCCTGCCTCTGCCTCCAAGAGTGCTAGGATTAAAGCTGTGCGCCACCACATCATAATGGTAAAATGACTTAAAACTGAACATTCCATCCTAGGCAGGGGAGCACCTGTTTGTTTAGTGCACACGAAGTGGGCTCAGTCCTCAGCTCCAAAAAGGGAGAGAGAAATCTGAAGACTCTGAGTTTTCTGTAACTGAATCTACTGTTTCTACAATCCCCCGCAGTGGTTCACCACCTCAGGCAAAAACACCAGTCTATCTCAGGGTACTCGGGAAGCAAAACAGTTTCATGCTGGGTGGGCTCGATCCTTCAAGATCTGCACAGCATGGTGGGAAAAGGGCCTGCCGTGTGTGCTGTGTGACAGGTGGCTCCAGCATACCCTAACACTGGAGAGCACCGCCTCAAGCCAACACACGGCTACCGCAGGAGGGCTGGGGCCCAAGCACCGCCTGTGATTAAGGGAGTTAACTCACGTGTGCATGCCACAGTGTCTGTGGGAAACCTTCACCCTAGGTTCTGAGACAGAGGATGATGCGCAGCCAGGCAGGCGCAGGGCGCATGGGTACCTGGCTCCCGGGACTGGCTGTCGTCACAGATGTGCAGGTCCAGGCGGGAGATGAGCAGGTGGTAGGAGGACTCCTTCACATCAAACTTCTCAAAGTACTGGCTGAGGCGGCTGCTGCTGCTGCTGCTGTTGCCCTGGCTGCCACCGAAGGCCTGGGCCCAGGTCTGCTGGGCACTGGGAGCAGGTGGAGTGATCTACATGTGACAGAGAAAAAAACCTCAGGGGCTTGGTGGTTGAGAGCACTGGCTCTTCCAGTGGACCCAGGTTCAATTCAGCACCCACGTAACAGCTCATGCCTGTCTGTAACTCCAGTTCCAGGGCTTCAAACACCCTCACAGACATACATGCAGGCAAGACAGCAAGGCACATAAAATAAGTTATATATTTAGACAGACAGATGTCAAGTCCAGGCCCTGAGAAACTCCTTCTGATGCTTCCTGAAGCTGAAGTCCACATGAGTAAAACCAAAGTTTAACAGCATCCCTTCCATCTCATAACTGCTGTCTAATCTCTCACTCAGCTCTACTGGAGGAAGCAATGTAGACACCAAGAAGCCCACCGATGACCAGGTTAGCAACTGCCCCAGTGTGTCCTCAGGTTTGTGTTGCCCAGCAAGCTGTCACCTACCAGGCCTGGACTGACCCCAGTCATCTCCTCCAGAATGTCCTCCCTAAGGCAGCTGTCACGCTGGATGGGCAGGGCCCCTTCTCCATGCTCTCACAGCACCAGGTCTACCTGGCACACCATGTATCAACAACTTGTCAACTGTCTGTCTTCCAAGACAGTGCAAGTCCCAAGGGCAAGAACAAAAGGCTCATGTCACCTTTCTCCGGAAGTTAGCTCCATCTGCTCTCCAGGAGGAGCAGGTGAACACAACAAATGAAAGATGGCGCCTGTGAGCAACACCACACCTGGTGAACTCCACGAGCTAAAGGCTTCATTCCCCCAACACCGGCACAAATCAGGGCTGGCCAAGGGCCTGCTCAGCCCCAGAAGATGTGCAGTCGTCTCTAACCTGCACAGGCTCAGGAGCCAGGCTCTTTCTCTGCTGGGCTGACTTTTCCATGGCCTCACTCAGCGACTCAGCATACTTCATCATCGCCTTGAGCTGTGAGTCAGTCAGCACCCAGAGCAGGTCATCCAGCAGGAACGTCAACTTGGAGGCAACCACATTGCAATCCTTGGTCTGAGGGGCCACAGAGAACACAGTTTAGCACCTTGTACCTTCCAAGGCCTTAAAGTGACTGTGGCCTGGTTTTCCCAGGTAGGTTTTCACCTTCCAGGAGGAGAAAAAGAACCATCAAGCACTCTGGAAAACCTATTTCTTACAAAGTAACTCAGGTTTGCTTGATTAAGAAAAAGCACCAGTCAGCCTGGAGATGCTTGGGCCAGTGTGTACATAATAAATATAGGTAGAAACTGTGGGTTGGGTTTTTTTTTGGAAGGGGGGGTTCTTGTTATTTTCAAAGCAGGGTTTCTCTGTGAAACAGTTCTGCCTCAGAGATCCACCTGCTTCTGCTTCTGGGACTAAAGGTGTGTGCCACCACTGCCAAAACAATGAAACACTTCTCACAACCATGTGACAGTGGCAGAATACCAACTTCCAGAAGTTTTCCCAGCATGGGCAGCACACACTCACTCGTCTCTTGAGGGCTATCTGGATCCGGCCTTGGTTGGTAATGAGCCTCAGCGGAGTGGTGACTAGGTCCTGATCACCATTATCTGTGGCATCTGCCTCAATTCGAAGGGTCTGCCAAGTTATTTCCTTAAATGTTAGAACCTGGAAGGAGGGAAAGTAAAACCCCATGATTCTGTGGAGCAGATTGAGCAAGCCACCTGACTGAAGAAGGAGGCAGGGCCAGGTCTGTGACTGTGCAGTGACTCTGGGCAGAAAGGGCCCCACTTTTCCCAAGAGTGGGGACACGCCAAACGGGCCAACCAGGAGCAGCGTCCTCCGGAGTTTCTTCTCCTCCGAATCCCTCCACCCACTCCCCTCAGAATGCTAGGCTGTCTGTCACCTCTCCTCGACGGGGGTCAGTGATGCGGGTCAGACGCAGGTCACTCTGCTGCCAGTTAGGGTTGACACTATAGCCCTGGAGTTGCCACAATTCAAAAGACGCATGGAAGGCCTTGGAGTGGATCTTGATGGTGATGGAATTGACAATGATGAACATCCCCTCCACCACCTTCTCGGCAAAGCCATACTCACTGCAATCCAAGAGGAGACAGTGATCAGAACCCAGGAGGCTGCAGGGATGGGCACTGTTCTGGAAGACAGCAGATTCAGCTACATATGTGACTACTTAGTTTTCTTCCTTCTCTCCTTGTTGTTTTTTCCCCCTACTAAGTTTTTTGGTTGGGGTTTTTCTTAATATTTTATTTTGTTTTTATGTGTATGCATGTACTGCCACATGTATATGCCTATCACACATCACACATCTGTAGTGTCCACAGACTCCAACAGAGGGAGCTGGATCCCTGAAACTGGAATTACAGATGGTTAACAGTTGGCTGTGTGGGTGTTAAGGCCCAAACCCATATCTGCTAAAGATCAGCCAGGGTTCTTAACCTGGTGTACACCTTTCATCCCACCAAAAGGAAGATGGAGGCAGGTGGGTCTCTGAGTTCAAGGCCAAACTGGTCTACAGAGAGAGTTCCAGGACAGCCAGGGCTACACAGAGAAACTCTGTCTCAAAACAGGAGAGGGGGAGAGGGAGATTTAGAAATTAAAACCGAAAGCACACATTTATGTGCAATTTAGCCATATTGGATAATAAAAGGTCCAAGAGCCCAATAAAAACAGAACAAAGCATACACAGGTCACAGAAAAACAATGGAAAAAACCTGTGGCTTTTTTCCACCTGTAATCCCAGCACTCAAGAAGCAGAGGCAAGCAGATGTCTGTGAATTTCAGGCTAGCTTACTCTAGGGTCCTCTGTCCTCTGCTCCCATCTCCAGAGCAGAGACCCCAAGTGGATCCCCACGCCCTTCTGGCATCACATGGGTGCCAGTGATACAAACTCCAGGCCTCACGCCTACAAAGCAAGTGTTTTACCCACTGGCCCATCTTCCCAGCACCTACAAACACTTCTTTAAGGAAAACATAAAATAAAAAATGCTGTGCCTGGTGTACACCTTTAATTCCAGCATTAAAGAGACAGAGGCAGGCAGATCTCTGTGAATTGGAGGCCAGCAAGTTCCAGGCCAGTTACACAGTGAGAACATGTCTCCAAAAGAGAAAGATTAGAAAAGGAAAAAAAAATTAGAAGTTATATTCTTTTAGAAAAGAAAAAGAACCCCAACCATCCCCAAAAGAGAAACATGAATATAGGACAGGACAGAAGTAGATAAAACGTGAGCTGGAGAGATGGCTCAGAGGTTAAGAGCACTGACTGCTCTTCCAGAGGTTCTGAGTTCAATTCCCAGCAACCACATGGTGGCTCACAACCATCCGTAATGACATCTGTCACTCTCTTCTCAGAATCAGGCATGAAGGCGGGCAGAATACTGCATACATAATAAATAAATACATCTTTTAAAAAAGTAGATAAAATGTTTAAAAGCAGATACACTTTGGTAAACTGTTGGGAAGTACTGGACAGTTTCTTCCAAAATTAAAACTCCCCATACCATTATTACCCAACATTTCCATCCCTAGGTGTGTTTAACCGAGAGAAACAATAGCACACAACACACAAATGCATGTGAATGGATACTCACACAAGTACAAGTGAAATAACAATTGAGTGAGTGAGTGGAAGGCTGGGCATGGTGGCACAGCCTGGAGTCCCAGCTCTTGGCAGGTGGAGGCAGTAGGCACAGGAGTTCAAAGCCAGTCTGAGCTACTCACAGTGAGTTCAAAGGCAGCCTGGGCTACATAAAGACCTTTCGGGGATTTGGGGAGGGTTCATACTGCTATTAGTAACACAGACTATGGAGGTACAATACAGCAACTAGGATTTGCTTTTAAGTCCTGGAGCACAAAGGAAAAAGACTGGCAGAATGTTGATAATTGTTAAGGTTTGATATTCGAAACACGGGGATTTGATATACTAGCCTATCTGTGTTAGTCGTATGTTTGAAATTTTCAATAATCGAGGTTTTATTTTGAGCCAGGAAAGGTATGGCACACTTATAATCCCACTGCAAACCAGCCTGAGCTACAGGGAAGGACAACCAGCCAACCCTTTAACTGGACGCATAGTAACTGACCTCTGTCCTGCAGCAAGGGCAATGGGAGACTGTCCATTGGGGGGGCGAGGGTCCTCACAGGTCTTCATCTCCACCTCCACCTTATCGAGACACTGGAATGAGAGACACAGAGCTGAGCAGCCACACTAACCTCACACAGCACAAGACAGCACAGGCTGTGCTACAGGCCACCCACAGCCAACACAAACCACACTCCTGCCTTTCTGTCCGGATCCCAAGGAAGTGTAAGGATAGACACTCTAAAAACCAACAAAGACGGGCGGTGGTGGCGCACGCCTTAAATCCCAGCACTCAGGAGGCAGAGGCAGGCAGATCTCTGAGTTTGAGGCCAACCTGGTCTACAGAGTGAGTTCTAGAATAGCCAGGGCTATTTAGAGACCCTATGTCTCAAGAAAAAAACACAGCAGAAGATTACTTTCAAGTACGAAAGGCCATTACCAAGCAAATGGGATGTGTCTTCAGCTTCGTCCACTGGATCTGAAACAAGAAAGCCAAGACATGGGCTGTGACAGGTGCTCCTCCTGCCCACGGCAGCCAGAGCACTTACAGCCGCTCTCACCCGGATGGACGCCCTGTTGCAGTAGACCCTGGTGATGGCTAGCCAGGTGGGCAGCTCCAGCACGTTCTGCAGAACCTCCTCATCCAGCTCCAGGTTGGTCAGCTGACCCTCCCCTTTTAGGGTGCTCAAGTTGATCTTGTCCGGGGAAAGATTCTTAGTGAACCTGCAAGGAGTGGTAGGAAAACACCACTGTTTCTAGGCAACATGAAAAACGGGCACTGCTGTAACCAATCGTCCATGGTCTCCACACCACAAAGGGTATGAGGTAAGATCAGCCACTCTACAATGACAGTCGCCATCCTCCTGACAATGTGTGGTGGGGAGTCTGGGGAAATGGATGGAGGAGTAGCAACACAGCTTTCCATTTCTGAATCCTCACATGAGCGTCCCCTAGAAACAGGGCAGTTAGGCCAGAAATATGTATACACCTGTAATACCAGCACTTGACAAGTGCTGATGAAGATCAACGTCACAGTAAGCATTACATCCTAAGCCTTAAAGCAGTTCTTTAAAATCAACAAACCGTGAACCAACTTTGTTCTTTAAACCACAGAGACGAGCTTCTTCCCATGGATACTTCCCTCTGAAGATTAGCCTGCCAAAGCATGGGGGGAAAGGGATTCTTCTTCTACTGAAATGAATACCTACCCACAAGCAAACAAAAACAGTGAGAGAAAAAGTCCATCTACTCAAAACACTTCCTAAAGAACATGCAAGAAAAAGCAAACAAGGATACTGCATGCCTCTAGAAGAGAGGAGGGGCGGTGGGTCCTGGGGAGGAAAAGCAGGCAGGACAGGAAGCTCAGCACATCTACCATCACAAGGCACTTCCAAGGCCTGTACACATTCAGAGGATTACAGTTCCTTCCTCCAACTTCCTTAGCAACCTTCCCTTAGCACACACACAAACAGGATGAGAATCAGCAAGAAACACTGCTCTTCCCCAGGCTGGCCTCGAACTGGCAATCCTCCTGCCTTCGCTTCAGAAGTCATAGGATTGCTGGTAGGTGCTGCCATGTCCACTTGAGGAGATCTTTTAAGATGAAAGGAGGAAGGGGACTGGAGAGCTAGATCTGAGGTAAGAACACTCGGAACCCAGTGACAGGAAAAAAAAAACTCTCAAAAGTTGTACACGCTGGGCGGTGGTGGCGCACGCCTTTAGTCCCAGCACTCGGGAGGCAGAGGCAGGCGGATTTCTGTGAGTTCGAGGCCAGGCTGGACCGACAGCCTCCAAAACAATACAGAGAAACCCTGTCTCGTAAAACCAAAAAAAAAAAAAAAAAATTAAAAAAAATCAAAAGTTGTATACACACACACCAAATTTTTGTTTTGTTTCGAGACAGGGTTTCTCTGTAGCTTTGGAGCTGTCCTGGAACTCACTCTGTAGACCAAGCTGGCCTTGAACTCACAGAGATCTACCTGCCTCTGCCTCCCAAGTGCTGGAATTCCCAAAACACTTTTTTTTTTTTTTTGGTTTTTATGAGACAGGGTTTCTCTGTATTGTTTCAGAGGCTATCGATCTAGCCCAGCCTCGAACTCACAGAGATCCGCCTGCCTCTACCCAAAATAATTTTTAAATAAGAAAATAATGCAAATTTTACAACTGATGATGCTCTGGCAAAAGATAAACTATAAGCATAATAAGCTATATATTTGTAGCACTGATGAGTGATTATACTAAAGGGATGGACATATTTCAACATTTTGCTCTTTCCAAAATATCTCTCTAGAATTTGATATAAAATAAATGACATTTCTCAGGGCTGGAGAGATGCTTGCTGCTCTTGCAGAGGACCAATTTTGGTTCCCAGCATCTACATCAGGCAGCTCACTGCTGCTTGTAATCCAACTCCAAAAGACCCAGCACCCTCTTCTGGCTTCTATGGGCACCAACACATACACAGACACAGACACAGACACAGACATACACACACACTCTCACACACATACACAAACTCACACACACATACATACTCACACTCTGTCCCTGGCACAAACTTTATTCAGCATTTGTGTTCTAACAGAACACAGTATCTATGATCCCTCATAGGCCAAGGGTGGCTAAAAAGACTAATGGCAGCCTGGTATTTGCTCCAGTTGACTAAATAGGGAAACATTTTCAGACCATCTGTTACTATTACTGAGTACAGAGGCTTAGAAGAAATCAAGCTGGAAAAATACACTGATCAACTTCATCTCTGCCAGAGAAACACAGTCTGCCAAAGAGGCAATAGAAAGTCTGTCAGTCATCCCTGCAAACTGTCACACGGTGTTAGGGAACCAGAGTTTTTAACCCTGCAGACTCTTAAGAGCCAGAGACTTGCTTAAGTCAGGGTCTCAAGTAGCCCAGGCTGCCCTTGAACTCAGTACTTAGGAGGCTTGCCTTGAATTTCTGATCCTCCTGCCTCAGACACTCTAGTGCTGGGGTGGCAGATATATGCAAACATGCCCAGACAAAAAGGATTTAAAGGACCATTAATGCAGCTGGGTGGTAGTGGTGTACTCCTTTAGTCCCAGCACTCGGGAGGCAGGGGAGCCTCTGAATACAAGCTCAGCCTGGTCCACACTGTGAGTCCAGGACAGCCAGGGCTACACAGAGAAACCCTGCCTCGGAATTGATTGATTATTTAATAACAATAACCATCAATTCAAAATCTTCATTTGCAAATGAAGACACAAGTGTCAAAAATGAGGAAGGGTTGCCCAAGGGTCATGGTTATCTGGGGCTAACCCTGGGACTAAGCACACCACCACAGAAGTGGGAGGCACCCAGCATTCACTCCACACACCCCACTACTGCCCCGGGAACCTGCAGACAGCAATCCTCCCTCTGCTCCAGATCCACAAATGTCATCTGCAACTTCACAAAAATATATAACAAGACCCAGCCTCAGAAATCCAAAGCAAACAGGACTGGAGAGAGGGCTCAGAGGTTAAGAGCGCTGGCTGCTCCTCCAGAGGACCAGGTTCAGTCCCTAACACCCACACGGCGGCTCACAGCTGTCTGGAACCCCAGCTCCAAGGGACCTGACAATTCTTGTGACCTCTTCCAGCACTGCGTGCACATGGTACAGACATTCAGGGAAAAAAAATCTACACAAAAAAATTAATAAAGTAAAATGAACCCCCCAAATACTGAAGACCGTTTTCTAGTTACTTTTTCTTTTTCCTTTTTTTTTCTTTTTTCTTTTTGTTTTTTTGTTTTTTTGTTTTTTTGTTTTTTTTTTTTTTGGTTTTTCAAGACAGGGTTTCTTTGTATTGTTTTTGAGCCTGTCCTGGAACTCGGGTAGACCAGGCTTGGTCTCGAACTCACAGAGATCCACCTGCCTCTGCCTCCCGAGTGCTTGGATTAAAGGCGTGCGCCACCACCGCCCGGCTAGTTACTGTTTTCTAATTTAATTCCACTAAGGTCAGGGAACCTACTAGGTTTTTGATATCTTGAATTGCTTTATCATTTTACCATTTTCTATGTGTATGGGTGCATGTATATATGTGCCAGAAGAGGGCGTCAGATCCCCTGGAACTGCACTTACAGACAGTTGTGAGCAGCCATGTGGGTGCTGGGAATCAGATCCTTGGGGGTGACTTGCCATGGGCATGGTTTTCTGAGTTCATGACCTGATAAACTGGGGAAGGAGCTCAAGACAACCTGGGCTTCCTAGGGAGTCACTGTCTTTTTTTTTTTTTTTTTTTTTGGTTTTTACGAGACAGGGTTTCTCTGTGGCTTTGGAGGCTGTCCTGGAACTCGCTTTGTAGACCAGGCTGGCCTCAAACTCACAGAGATCCGCCTGCCTCTGCCTCCCAAGTGCTGGGACTAAAGGCGTGTGCCACCACCGCCCGGCCAGGGTTTTTATCTTCTATTTTTACTGCGGTTCCTTTGTGACTGCACGTGTGTACAGTGTGAAGAAAAAGAACTACCTGTAGGAGAAGTTGTCTCCTTCCACCAAACCCAGGTCCTCAGGCTGCCGGCAAGGACCTCAGCCTACTTCCTAGCTCATCGGCCTCACACTCTAGTTTAAGAAACTAAGAAGCACAGCCCTTCTCTGGGGAGGCCACTGTCCGGCTGACAAAAAGAGCTGGGTTGTGATTAAAGCCATACTCACTGATTATTCTTTAATCCGGTTCTATACAGTGAGATAACTAAATGCCCTCTAACACTTAAGTAAATTCACTAAGGGAATCTAGTGTTCACATTCTGGCTGCTTCACCTTGTGGTGATCTCAATGAAAATGGTCCCTATGTTTGAATGTGCAGTTCCCCGTTAATGAACTGTTTGGGATCCATTAGGAGGTGTGTCCTTGTAAGAGTAGGTATGTCTCTGGGGAATGGGCTTTGGGGTTTCAAATGCCCACACCAGCCCAGCCTCCCTCCTCCCTCCCTCCCTCCCTCTCTGCCTGCAGATCAGGATGCAGAGTTCTAAGTCACTGCTCCAGTATCATGTCTGTCTGCGTCCCACAATGATGAAAACCCTCTGAAACTGTAAGCAAACTCCCTACTAAATGTTTTCTTTTATAACGTTGCCTTAGTCATGGTATCTCTTCACAGCAACAGAACAGTAACTAAAACACACCTGTACTAAGGTCCCAGTCTCCCCACGTGCCATGGCATAAGAGCATACTCCTTCCCTCTTTAAACCCAATGAGAAAGCATTTCTCCCCACTCTGTAGTAAGTGTCTGGAAATGTAATATTAGAGGCAAGGGAAACTGCCCACTGGTTAAAGTTCCCTCAAAACTAGTGTAAACGCCAGGCGGAGTGACAGCCTGTCAGAAAGTATAAACAGGGGAACTTCAGAGCAAGCTGGCCACTGAGGTTAGTCATACTGGGGAGCTCTGGCTTGACTGAGCTATTCTGCCTCAATGATTAAGTTTGGAGAACAATGCAGCGTGATCCCCAATATCAACACTGAGCCTCCACACACATATATATGTACCCATACCCACACATATGCAAAACCATGCATGTATACAGCAGGTAAAATACTCACTATACAAGGCTGATAGAGTTTGGTACCCAGAATCCACAAGGAGAAAACTGACCCACAAGTTTGTCCTCTGATCTCCACACATGCTGGCACACACACCCTCACCCTCTACAATAATGTATTGGTTTTGTTTTATTCATTTCTTTATTTTTGCTTTTTCAAGACAGGGTTCCTCTATGTAGCCCCAGCTTTTTGTTTTCTGTGGGTTTTGAGACAAGGACTCAGACTATAACCCTGCCTGGCCTTGAACTTGCAGGCAACCCTCCTGCTTCAGCCTAACTGTTGGGAGCCACCACACCCAACCTTTTCAAAATAAAACAATATGCATCTTCCAGAATGGCTGCAATGGAAAGGACAGAAAATGCTAAGTGTTCAAGGACCTGGAACCAAAGTTCCCACACACTTCAGCAGCAGACACGACAACTAGCACGCCGTGCAGTATGCATTCGTGAAAGCCCACACACATTCTGCAACCCCAAAGATCCCAAGCCCTGGTCTTAAAGAGGCTCCCCACAGGTGTGTGTACACTGCCACTAAAAAGACTTGTACTAGGCCGGGCGTTGGTGGCGCACGCCTTTAATCCCAGCACTCGGGAGGCAGAGGCAGGCGGATCTCTGTGAGTTCGAGGCCGGGCTGGACCAATAGCCTCCGAAACAATACAGAGAAACCCTGTCTCGTAAAAACCAAAAAAAAAAAAAAAAAAAAAGACTTGTACTAGAACCTTCCTAGTATCGTGCTATTATTCATGATGGCTCTGACTGAGCAAATGCATAGAATTCACCAACAGCAAGGATAAGGAAAGTGAATTATATTCCCATTAAAAGAATAGCACACAAGAATGGTGCCTACACCCCGATGCAAGCATGGTACTACAGCCAGGCACCAGGGCTAGCAAGCGGGCTCAGCTGGTGAAATGCCTGCTGTGCCAGCACGAGGAGCTGAGTTCTGTCCTCAGCACCCCCATGAATTCAGCTGTGGTGGTGTACGCTTCCCATCCCAGCTCCACGGAGGTGAGACAGGAGGGGCCCAGGAGTTCACTGCCAGGGGCCTTGCCTTAATCAGCAAGTTCCAGGTCCCAGTGAGGTAACTATAGACAGCGGCTGAGAAATAACATATAAACACATGCACGCACACACATATAAGACACAAAAAATGCTTAAGCCAAACCAGATATAGTAGTGTAAACCTGTAACCCTTACTACACTTAGTCACACGATATGTAAGAGGAATAAAATATGCAGACTGAGACCTGAGACACCACAGCACAATTGGTAGTGTTTACAGTCTGTCCATGAGGCCTGGGGGTCAATCTTCAGGACCACAGGGTTGGGGGTGGCAAGTGGTGGTCCACGCCTGCGACCCTGATACCGTGGAACCAAGGCAAGAGGGAGCTGGGGACACAGCTCAGTAGCAGAGCACGTGACTCGAGCACAAAGCCCCGAGTTCTATCCCAGTGCAAACCAAACCAAAATATGAATCTAAGGAATATTATGGGTTGTTGGGGGTTTTTTTTGTTTTTGGTTTTTTTTTGGTTTTTCGAAATAGGGTTTCTCTGTGTAGCCCTTGCTATCCTGGAGCTCACTCTGTAGAACAGGCTGGCCTTGAACTCACTGAAATCCACCTGCCTTCTACCTCTGTTTACATCAACAGAGTCTTGACTGACTTCACATCCTATCACATACCTTCTTACCTACACAATCCAAGGTCACTAGTTGAGGTGATCTAAAGCAAGAAGAAACCCCAGACATGGTGGTGTCATACCAATAACACCAATACTCCTAAGGCTGAAGCAGGCAGGCAGGGTTCTCAAGAAGGGGGAAGAGGAAAAAAAAAGGAACCAACCAGCAAACAAAAACACTAATAACCTAATTTCACGAGCCTTCCTGCCTTAATCTCCCAAATGCTGGGATTAGAGGCCTGCAGCACCAAACCCAGCTAATTCTTTTAAGTAAATTAAAAATAAATAAAATGTAAATTTAAAAAACAATTTTAAAAATAAACAATTACTTCCTGTTGCTAAGCAAAGCTCTTTCCATGGGTTCATTTCAATGAACATTTAATGGTATATTAAGTTTCTGCATATTGGACAATGGTCACTCAAACCATGGGTGAAATTCCTAAGAGACATTTAATCCCCACTGCCCTCCCAGTGCCCTAGCATAGAGAAGGCAGTTAAAGTAAATATCTTAAAATTACCAGAATGCACGTTATCATCACTGGTCTGACCCTTTGCTCTAAGACACTGTCCCTGAAGTCAAATGGTATTGCAGACACCAGCGGAAGTTAACACGGGGGCTCTGCAAACCTCCCACCTTTCCTTCCCGTCACGTTCCATAAGCCACGGGGCCACAGCTCCTCCCTGTCTGTGGGGTGAACATACTACATGTCAGTGTCACACATGATTGAACAGTCAGTCCAAAATAAACAAAGGCCCTGGGAATCTGGCCTTTCCAACCAGACAGGCAGCCTACTCCTCTGCAGGGGGGACCTGAAACTGCCTCCTTAAGTGCCCTCTTCCTCCTCCCAGCCCTACACCCAGCAAATCAGAAATGGCCCTCCATGTCAGACATGCTGTGCCTACTTTATTTAAAGCAAAAAAAAAAAAAAAAAAAGGGTTTCTTTCTTCTGCCAGGATTCAACAAATGTGTTGGGGGAATACAGGGTTAGTGACCAGCTTGAGTTATATGACACCACGCCTTGGGGGGTTGGGGGGATTACAAAGGCTTTAGCCCCTATCATTACAATTTTATGTTCACAGATGTACAGAATGTGTGTGCACTACAGGGAAAGTGCATAGAACATGTGTGCACTATGAGAAACTGCCCCAGAGTTAGGAAGTTGCCTCTACTATACTCCTCTCTCCTCTGGATAAGTCACTCATCCTTGCTGGGCTTCTGGCTTCCTCAGTCAGAAGTGAGAGATTGCAGCCAGGCATGGTGACCTATGCCTTTAATCCCAGGACTTGGGAAGCAGAGGCCAGACTCTTAAGCTTGAGGCCAGCCTGCTGTATAGCCTGGGGCTGGACTCCATCAAGAATTGCTCATTTATTACAGGATGCTTTTCTTCTTTTTTTTTTTTTTTTTTTGTTGGTTTTTATGAGACAGGGTTTCTCTGTATTGTTTTCCAGGCTGTCAGTCCAGCCCGGCCTCGAACTCACAGAGATCCGCCTGCCTCTGCCTCCCGAGTGCTGGGATTAAAGGCGTGCGCCACCAACGCCCGGCTGGCTTGGAACTCTTATGTGCTCCGGGCTGGCCTCAAAATCTTACACGGGCCTCAGACTGCAAGCACATGCCACCACAGCAGCCTACAGTAATCTCTGCAGTGTATACTAATACTAGCCTCAGCTCGAAGATGATGAAAGTAAATGAGGAAGTACCCAGGCCCTAGGAGGAGCCCTTGAGCCCAGGTGTGGAATACCGTGGCTAACCAAAAGATGGATCTGAATCTACCGGATAAAGTCTAAGATCATCTGTGCCATGTCAGCCAGGAAAGGGGGGACACCCCGTCAGGAAGAGTCTCACACATTATTTGCCAAATACAATGAGAAGGCCAGAAAGGATACATCAGCGTAAGCCCCGGTGTTCCATGTTGACTGGCCACACACCACACACACACACACACACACCACACACCACACACACCCGTTTAAAACCACTAACCACTGTGCAGACAAGCTGGATCGCTAGAGGAACTGAGACCACCTAAATTAACAACCATCACCGACCCCGGACTAGAAAAAGGAAAGAAAACTAATTGTAACGCTAGCTCCCGATTCTTCGCAGCTACAAGTAGCATCATCACCTGGAGAGACCAGTTAGTCCTTCAGGTATAGCTAAAAGTTGTCCAATCCAACACGCCCCAAGACACCGAGCCACAGAACGGCTTCACAGAAGGCCACAAAGCACACGCGGACACCGGCTGACCGGAAACTTCCACGGCATCTTAATGGGAAGGATGCTGAAACTTTATCCCCCAACTCGGCTGACCTTTCTCCAATTTGTCTGTGCAAGGAGAAGAAAGCGGAGAGAGATAGGAGGACGGTCCCAAAGGAGGGCGAGCTTCGGGCGAAAGGCTCAACATCCTTTCAACGGTGATGCAACAGGGTCGGACCTAAGAGGAGCTCGCTTCCCAGAAGAACGCCAGCGTCGGCGCTGCAAACCTAAGGGGTCGTGGGCTGTGCAGCACCGGGTGGCAGAGCGAGCAAAGAAGCGGCGGCTGGGCGGCTCCAGAGGCGGGAAGAGGCCCCGAGGGCTGAGCGAGCGGTGCTCGGAGGAACCGGCTGGCCTGGCCGGGCTCCGTGCCGGTCGGGACCAGGAAAGAGCCGGGTGACCCGCGCAGAGGGAGGAGGAGGTGGTGGCGGCGGCGAGGGGGAGGGGACCGATGCCGGGCAGCGCTGACAACGGCCGGCGAGAGTTGAACCGGGCCGGCCGAGCGCGGCCTGAGATCGCGGGTGCTCGGGAAGGGCCCGGGTACGCAGGGTGACGCTCTCACCGGGACAGGTGCTTCAGGATCTGCTTCTTGATGATCCCGGCCATGCCGCAGCCGCGGCCCGCGTGGAAGGCAGGCGGGCAGCCGTGGCCTCCTCGGTTGTGGAGAAGAGGCGCCCCCTCACCTCGCCGCGGCGCGGGCACCGGCTGCCGTAGCCACGGCGGCCGCCATGGCGTTCTGTCGCCCCGGCCGCGGCGCCCGGAGTGCCGCCACGTTCCCACCCACCCGCGCGGCGCCGCAGCCTCCCGCGGAGAAGAGCCGCGACAGCACGCCCGCCTCCCGGATCCCTGTGGCGAAAGCGCGCGCGGCGAGGGCCGGGGGCGCGCGCGCGGCGGCACAGGCGCACGGGAGGAGGGGCGGGGCCGCCGAGGCTCACCCGGCGAAAGGCGAGGCTGCGGGGGCGGGGCCCGTGGCGAAGGGGCGGGGCTCGGCGCTGAGGGGCGGGGTTCACCCGGGGAGCCGCAGGCTAGTAGCACCGGGCCTTACTCATCACACTCCAGAGGCAAAGGCAGGCAGATCCAGATCGGTGAGTTCGAGGACAGCCTGGTCTGCTGCATAGGGAGTTCCAGGACAGCCAGTGTCACAATGACAGAGAGACCTAGATCCAAAAAAATAAAAATATGCACCTGTCCTCTGGGCGGTTCAACTTCTAAGTCTGAAATCTCACGCTGGGGACACAGCCCACTTGCCACCGTGTGTAAGGTTCCATCCACAGGACCAAAGAAAAGTGTCTCAAACTCTGAAGAGCAAGGACAGTACGAAATGTTTCCAGTGACCTGGCTGACGAAATGTCCTAGTGATTTTGCAAATCTGACCTTTAACCTTCCAGTTTCTAGGGAAAAAAATATCTATTAAATACATAAAAGGTCAGCCGGGTGTTGGTGGCAGCACACCTTTAATCCCAGCACTCGGGAGGCAGAGGCAGGTGGATCTCTGTGAGCTCAAGGCTACCCTGGTCTCCAGAGCCAGTTCCAGGACAGTCTGCAACGTAATACAGAGAAACTTAGTCTGGAAAAACCAAAAATAAATAAACATAAATACATAAATACATAAGGTCTTGGTGGTTAAACTGTCCGACAAGCCTTCAGGACGCTGTTAAACACAGGCAGAGCAGACTTGCCCCCATGCTTCACCGCTATATCTAGGAGTCTAAGATGCCACCTGCCCAAGGCTGTGCAACGGGGACAAGGACTGAATCCTGTTTCCATGCAGGGCGGTGGATCTCATTTCCCAATGCAGCGTTCGACAATTGCTGAGAAGTCAGGACTCCAAGCAACCAAACCCCAGGTAAACAGCATTCTTTGCATAAAGCCTCCTTTTAGAAAGTTAAAAATAAATAAATAAGCAGTCTCCCTATTGACCCGTACTATACATGATTCAAAGGAAGGGAAAAAACAAACAAACAAAAAACAGCACATCAGCAATGGCTTCCAAATGCCCTTGGAAAGAGAAGCCACCATGCAGATGGATGCCAATGTCTTCAATTCTTCCTGTGTAGTGCGTGTTTTTGCTGTGTGGCTTGGCTGAGGGCTTTTGGGCAGTAGTGGGTATCAAACTGAGGGCCTTGTACAAGTCAGGCAAGCACTCTTCTTCCCCCCCCCACCATGAGCTACAATCCCAGAAAGACCCTTTGAAAAGATGTGCTGTTTTTACCATATCTCTGTGTGGGTTTATGTGCACCATGTGTGTGCAGTACCTGGGGAGGCCAGAAGCTGTCAGATCCTTTGGATCTGGACTTGCAAGCAGTTGTGAGCCGCATGGTGTGGGTGCTGGGAACTGAACCTGAGTCCTCTAGAGCAGTAAGCATTTAGCCACTGAGCCATCTCTCCAGCCCACATGCCTTCTAGTTTACTCTTGATTAGCTGTTTTGAGACAAGGCATCCATAGATAGCCCTAGATGGCCCAGAATTTTCAATGTAGATAGACCAGGATGGCATCAAACTGTCAGCAATCCTCCTGCCTCTGCCTCCTGAGTGCCAAGATCACAGCTGTGCACACCACACCTGGCTATACTCCTGTTTATTCACTTCAATTAAAATTAATTGAACTTCCCACAATGAGACACACACCCTGGACTCTTGTGGGAGGGTCTAGGTCTTGCCCTGGATTAAATGACAGACTATGGACACCCCATGAGGGCCTCACCCTCCCTGGGAAATGAGGGAGTACTGGGGGGGGTGTGGGAGGAGGGGAGGGAAAGGGAGAGGGACCTGGGATTGACATGTGAAGCAACCTTGTTTCTAATTTAAATTTAAAAATAAAAAAATTTCATTGAACTTTAGCAGGGTGTTGGTGGTGTGCCACCAATGCCCAGTTTTTGTGATTATTTTTAACAGTAACTCAAAATGCAGGATACCAGAAAGGGACAAACTTTTAAGTGCTGAACCATCCCTCCAGCCAGACAATCTTTTCTCTCTTCATCCCTGTCCCCCGTCACCGTTTGCTCTCCCTGAGCCTCCAGTATTACAGTTGCTGATCTGATACACAAATAGAAATCATTCCTTAAGGGCGGCAATGAACTTAAAGAAAGTATCTGGCCAGGCTGTGGTGGCGCACACCTTTAATCCCCTTTGATCCCAGGCGGATCTCTGTGAGTCAAGACCAGCCTCGTCTACAAGAGCGAGTTCCAGAACAGCCTGCAAAGCCACAGAGAATTATCTGTAATATTCATACATCATCTATATGACTTTTATTTATATGGACACACCAAGGCACAGAACCAAGCATGTCTTGGCTTTTTTTTCTATCGGTATTCACATCATCTCTTTCTCCTTTAAATCCATTACGTAGCCCAGAAAAGTGTGCACACCTTCTATCCCAGCACTCAGGAGGCAGAGGCAGGTGGATCTCCTAGTGTGAGGCCAGCCTGGTCTACAGAGTTCCAGAAGAGTCAGGGCTACACAGAAAACCAGAGAAACCCTGTCTCATAACACACACACACACACACACACACACACACACACACACACACACACACACACACACACACAAATCATCACTATGGAAAGCCAGGCAGCACTCGGGAGGCAGAGGCAGGCAGGACTCTCCAGCTTTTGAAGCCTGGAGACAGAACACTGTTGTAAAGGTGCCTTCTCTACCTGCAAATTGGCAAAGACATTTCCCCGTGGCTGCCTGTGAAGGTAGAAGCAGTCATGTGTCTAGGCGTGTGGTTGGCCCGACCGGAAAGTAGTTGGAGCTGGTGAGGTGACTCGGTGGACAATGTGGTGGTGGCTGCGTAAGCATGAATCTGGGTCCCCAGCACCCACAGGGAAGCAGGGCAGGAGTAATGGCTGACTGTGTTCCTGTACTTGAGTATGGAGATCCCTGATGCAAGCTGGTAGCTAGCCTAACCAAATCATTGATAGCTCTGGGTTCAACAGGAAATCCTGCCTCAGTAAACAAAGTGACTGAGGTAGGCATCCAGACACCCACATGTGCCCATTTACACGTGAACACAGACACATGCAACAAGGAAAACTTCCTGATTGACAAAGACAGGGAGATGTGTTTTACAGAAGCAAGGAACTAAATTCTTCCACACCACGAACTGAGGAATGGATGTGAGCAGCCAACAGCCCACATGACACCTGCTCTTCACTTAGACTGATCAAAGCTGGTGGGCTTCATTTCTGAGCTATGTAACCGTCTTGATGACATCAAGGAAGCAAGCTGTTCCAGTTGGAGCCAAACCAAACAGCATGCCCCTTTCAGTAACTGGATTTTGGGGCCAGTTACTGAAACTGTAACAAAAAAAAGTTTGGGTTTTGAGACAGTTTCTCTGTGTAGACTTGACTGTGCTGGAACTGGCCCTGTAGACTAGACTAGCTTGGCCTATTTTTTGTTTTTTTATTTTTTTGGTTTTTCAAGACAGGGTTTCTCTGTATTGTTTTGGAGACTGTCCTGGAACTAGCTCTGTAAACTAGGCTGGCCTCGAACTCACAGAGATCCGCCTGCCTCTGCCTCCCGAGTGCTGGGATTAAAGGTGTGCGCCACCAACGCCCGGCTGGCTTAGACATCAACACAGTGGTGGTACACCCCTCTAGTCTCAGCACAGGAGTGAGAAGCAGGCAGATCTTGACCTCTTGAGCTTGAGGTCAATCTGATCTACAGAGCAGTTCCAGGACAGCCAGGGCAAGAGAAAAAAAGAAAGGGAGGGAGGGAGGGAGGGAGGGAGGGAGGGAGGGAGGGAGGGAGAGAGAGAGAGAGAATTCTGACGTAAGGAGCCTGTCTGGAAGATTAGGAAAGTGAGCACAGGCCCATCACCTGACTACTACAGGTACGAGTGTGCGTGTGTGGCAGTGTGATAAGCAAGGTAGTTAAGGACCAGCTCAGGATGGAGAAGCAGAGCCCACCATGACTGTCTGAAGGACATCTCCTAGAACTCTCCTCTGCCTGAGAAGCCAGTTTGCTAAGCTGAGAGCCCTCCTGACACTGAAGACCGGAAACCTCGGGGACTCGAAGCTTGAATCCAGAGAATTTTAAGCTGACAAGCCAATCAGATACACGGGTTGTGAGCCTAGGGGCTGTGATCCCTAGAATTTTGCTTCTGATTGTGTATATTGCTCTGATATAAGTATGAAGCAAAGTATATACTCAAATCCAACTCGGCTTGTCTGCCATCCTTCCTCCAGGGTTAAACAGACAGGCAAGCACAGGGACTGACACCTTCGCTAGAGTCTCATGACACATGCTGAAGAAAAGCTAGGCAAACACAGCTGGCTGCACCTCCTGTACAACACACAGAACACAGAAGGAAGGAAAAGGGATACGCGTTTAACTAAACAGCGACAATTTTATTGACTTTTTCACAATGAGTGAGAGCTGCACTGTGTTTATCCCCTTCTCCCCTCCAGCACTACTGTGTTCGGGAGGGGTAAGCCTTCCTTGTCATGCAGCTACAACACACTCA